AAAGTCTCAGTCAAGATAGCTTATAAGATTTCTGTATGAAATGACTGGTTACAACAATAGCCTCCTATCTTATTCTCGTTCGGCAAGCACGCACATGTCGACTCTGTCGAGTGTTGGGCGAACTGAAATACTGAACAGTACGTATGTAAACTAAAATATAGACCTACATCACTTACGGTGACTGGATCATTTCAATTCCAAAATCTAAACTCTCTGAAAAGCTAGCATATTGACAGAATCTTCGTTAACCAATTATTTCCCTTTTTTTATCCAGAAAAATTGATCACACTATGTCAGCTTTGTCTGAGATTTTCAAATTGAAACTATCAGATTTTATCAGATTTTATCAAATACTGTCCGTATACCAGCTTAAATGCATTTCCTGTAAAACTTACCTGGTCTATGGAAAGCCCTACATATGGGCAAAGAGGGCTCAAAAGCCGAGAGCCGGAATAAAATCCCGTCATTTTGGTTGCCAACCCTCTGACAGCCTTGTTGCAGACGGTGTGTCGAGAAAATTACATTGACCTTGACCTTTACAAGACCCTTTGGATCTTTTGAAATTAATTTATATTTTAAAGGATTACATTCACATATGATAATTATTTTTGATAAAAATTCAGCTAATTTTTCTCATGCTATCATGATCGAACGTTATATAATAAACAGATTAATCACTTGTCTTTTGCTGCTGTACACTGCGCGTCTCCTCCTATAAGCCTCGTATTCGACTCACATAAAAGCGAGGCTTTCAACTATTTTGTTTTTGTTCTTCAGAGAGGATTTTCTATTTATTTTTCCTTTCTTTTTTTTTTTTTTTTTTTTTCAGGTTTACCCTCAGTATTTCCAGTCATTGGGTGTTTTTTTCCAAAGTAAACAATATCAATTATTCAAGCAAAAGCAATATCTTTTTTAGATAATGATGTGGAGAGAGGGAGAGAGACTTAAATTTTTAAAAAATCAGAATCATAATTAAAATATTGACAGATAATAATAAACAGTCAATCATTTCAATGAATTGATTTTATTATCAATAATTTCCCAAAACCTTGCACCACTCTAAAACCAAAGTGCCACTCCAATGCTGTAAATGACACACACATGAACACAAAACACTTATTACAGAAATATCTGCCAGCTACCTCTACACTGGTGTCTAATCTGATAATTATAATCAATAATTAAGCAAATTCAATTCTGTCACACCTAGCACAATATTGCAATGACATCCTCTCAACAGTTTGTCACAACTAACACATTACTGTTCATGCCTGCAGGACAGAAACTTATAATTCAGGTTAGCAAATTGTAAATATCAACTGAGGCTGCATTCTTGCAATAAGTACAGAATTAAAGATTGGAAGTCACATGTGCCATATATCAATTACCAAAGACCTCCATATTTTGTCAAAGAAAATGTTTAAAAAGGTCAATTAACCCGCCAGGGGTTATATATACACAGTGCATAATGACTACTGAAGTGCTACAGCATGTGAGGTCAGTCTAATAATCCTTCCTTACTTTAAATATAACATACTTATCTGTGACAAAAACATAATAAATTCTACATTCCTTTTTGCGAAATGCTATAAATACTTTATAAGGAAGGTATCTACTTTAGACTATGAAGGACAGAAACAATTAACACATTTCCTTTGGTCTTTAACAATGATAAAACTGACATGCATAAAGGCTTAACCAGAGATTCAATTATAACCACAAGTAGCGTATATCAATTGAGCAGGATTTTTTTTTTTTAAATTTTAATATCATGCAGGAGATTCTTATAAAAAGACACACTTTAAATTAATGCTGAAAGAAATGGTTGCAAAACAGGCTGCACAAAAGAATTCTGGGTAATATTTTTTGTACAAAGACAATATATATCCCTACTGTCCATGAAGACCCATGCTAGCATACCAGCAAGTATATTATAACTGGGCAAAACTACCCATGACCATGGCCTTGCTCTGACATGGCAGTACAATAATGTACTGAGAGGGTAGACATCCAAATTTTCCACCCTTTTGGTAATTAACTGACACCTTCCTGAGACCAATGGTTATGCAGTTGGGTTGCTCAGTGTCTGTTACATGTACTGGTATTTCACCACATAAGTACCTAGTCACTATAGCAGTGGGCGTGGCTGAGGGTAATTTTTGGAGGGGGTTAATGCTGATAATAAATAAGAATACATGTTAACACAAAAGGAAGTGAGGGGGTGTGGAAGGGGGTGTGGAAGGGGGCAGCAGTGGGGGTCACAACAGGCAGGGAAAGAGGGGTTAATAACATAATCTAGTAAGAATGTTGAGCATCCCTTTACTGTCAGCAAAATGTCCAACTAAAATGTAGACCAGTAAAGGCATAAAAAGAAAAATGTCTTGCAAAATTGAAGCAAAGTTTTACATAAAAAATAAATTAATAAAACACCATGAAAAAGAAAAAGCATAGAGTGGAATGTTAATTACCAGCTGTTCTCGAAGAAAAGAAATACCTTAAGTACATGTAAAAAAATATATAGTCAACAAAGCAAGACAAGGAAAAATCTTGTGGCATACATTGCTGTTTCCTAATTCATGTACCACTTTTCTCTGCAATGATATCACTTCTGCTACCACTATAATTAAATTGTTATATTAACTTTCTGCAAGGTCATATTTCATAAGTCATTTCATTAACTAATATTCACATTCAATAAAAACTGATAGATATGATACTTCAGTGAAAGAGCTGCAGCACCTAACAAAATCGTGCAGTCTCTCCTGAATCTGCACTAAAAACATGATGTTCATATTTTAGTATTATGTCTGTTGCGTTGTCATGGGCACATCAAATAAAAACAACAAAATCTTTAAAAAATATTATGATCCATGAATATTCAATGTTTCTGATGTACATACTAGTACACACAGCAAGTACAGGCACCAAGTGTCTGTGCCTCATTATATGCAACAAAGTGACTTTTCAAACACATTTTCAAATCGATGTGTTGAAGACTTTAAATTCCAGCAAAATATCATGATGTGATATGACAGTAGAGACTACTGCCTGATACACATCATAACACCAAAGTAGGCATGACAACAATGACTGCATGCCTATTATGGGAAAAGGAAAACAAAATTAATATGCTCAACACTTACTGTATTTTGCGTATATAAAAATAAACATCTGATGCTTTAACAGCCAAGTTTTTAAGCACGAAGCTTTGCAGGCCTGTAGCTAATCATTTTACAGGGTGAGGGGGCTTTTTGCTTTTTGTGAAAAAGTGGACCTTTTACCATGAAACCATGTACCTCGAGATCAAATTTCGCCCAGAGCTGATCTTATCCTAACAAAAAAATTAACTGGTAGATCGTTTGAACCCAATGAAGCCCCCTGGTATAGGGCCTGCTATATACATTAATTTTTTTCTATTTAAATATCAGATTCTATAGTCAAAGATATTAATTACAAAAAATTATCTAATTAGAAGCTGAAAATAAAGGGCAATCATACAGAAAAAAACTCAACCATGCAAACCTACAAACATGTAAGGAAGACAAATATCAATCTACCTACTTGCAAGATAGAGAGAAAACATATATACTAGCTATTAAATAACATTTAAGCAAAAGCTAAAACTTGACTTTAGTTTATATACCAAGAAGCACAAACTCCAGACTCAAATAAGCAAAATCTTGGTGTACAATTAAGAGCAGTCATTCTCCTGACTGTTCATATCATAACAAAGATATCTAAGCCATAACAATTTAAAAAAATCATCAGGAATAGGGATCCAATGAAACAGCCCAAAACCTAACCACTAAGCATGGAATCTAGAGAGATTTCACAGCATGTAGAGGAGAGCAGGGTCCAAAATAACAGCAGACCAGCGAGTGCGGTATGGCCATAAACTTTAACTGACAATATTCTTTCACAGATGGTTTGTGGTTGCTTTCTCTTTTTAAAATTCTTAAAAGTCTACTGCACAATTGAGCTGTTTTGCTTTTACATTTAAAAACTTATATTGCTTTCTAGGACACCATTCCATTCAAAACCATTTCAAATTTCCCATGTTATTAACAAATATCTAAGTGTCTGCCAACTAGCTATGAGGTATTTCTCATCAATATTTGAATAACAAAATATATGTTCAACTTAACCTACAGCTGGTATATTATAACAATATTAAATCATTTTTTCACAACCATATATAAACATTTTAACCATGCATAAACAAGCATGGATAAGTCAAATGGATTTTCAAATATTTCGTTGACCCATGTCAAAGCTGCTCAATATTCAAATGCTTTTTCTATTGTTTTCAAAATCACATGAGAGTATACTTCAAGTTGTAAAAATAGTAATGTTGAACATAAATTCCTTGGTTTCAGTGTTGAACACTGCAAAATAAAAATTGTGCTTACAGTGGCAAATAACTGAGCCATAAACCAATCTTGCAAAGTGCATGGAACGTAACTGCCTGTCTGGATTTCACAAACAAAAAGGAACTGGTTGAATGATCTTGTGAAGTTTAAAAACATCCTTCCTCTCAATTCATAGTTTGTGAGTCTTGGCACATGCAGAATAGTGCTGTTGTAATGATACATTATTCTGTGCAATTCTCCATGGTTGTTAATACTGCTGCTGTTGTCACTGTTACTGTCTTCTTTACGTCACAGTCAGCCGGGTAACTTCAACCCTGGAATACAATTGACAAGGAAGGGATCAGAACGAGTGACGAGAGTGAAAAATTGTCCTCAAACGTGTGTGCACCACAGCAACAGTGCAGAGGTCCAGAAAGACACTGCAGTCAAATGCAAACCACGGCAAAACAAATGTCACATCATGAGTCAGGCATACAGGTGCAGAGCTCTAGCTTGTGATTCAAGCAACACTGTGATCGTCCAATCAAAATGCAACATGCATGACACCATGGACAATGTCCAAATAAATTGTAGATCTGAACCAGAAATTAAAAGGGTAGGTCTAAGAGTTGGGAATTTAATTTCCAATTTTCAAAAAAAAAAAAAAAAAAAAAAAAAAATGCTTCAATAGCTAAAACAAGTGGTTTTTAATTGTGCCATGCATTTCAATGTGAGATCAAAATATTGCCTCAATCCCAGCAAATATGCTTTCTATAAAGCTAGCTGGCACGCGTTCCCTGTTTGATGTTATGATGTCCCATGATCCTCTGCTTCCACCAATACAAATGAACTATTATACCTCCCATTTCACCAAGTTTGTCATTGGTTATTTTCCTTTTGTTCCAATTGATAGTTTACATTTCCCATCTCACCTCATCTTTATAATTAGATTCTTAGTTTCTTTTTCTCTTTCAGTTAAACTTATCAACCAACCAACTTAGTATACAAATGTCATCAACTCCATAGCATGCAGTAAATACAATTGGGCAATTCGTATACAGCACAATCTACATAGCACTACTTTAACCAAAAATCAGCCTTTTATGTATAATCAACCACCAGGTGCAGCTTTCAACTTCCTCATAACCTGATGCGAATAGTAAGACTGATCTTTGATTTAGACTAAACTAAGTTTAAGGTGGGACTGCAGGTGGGAGATTTTTTCTTAAATTAAATGTCTTAGCTTTTTTTCATTCCTGTTGCATTCTTTTAATGTATCTTCAAAACATATAATTATGCTTGAAACATAGTTCATCATGTGATGTAATATTGGGATATTTTGGGCAAAAACATCATTTTTGGTTTCCTGATTTTCTCAGGCACCTGGACAGCTATAAACTTGCTGTTAATGGTATTATAACACTTGAACAAAGTATTACAAAAGGGTTCAGGGATTTTTCTGTAAAGACTTACTGTTAATTTTATCTATGAAAAACCTTATTTTTAGCCCTATTTGAGTACAGTCCCACCTTAAATATGTATCTTTAGTCTTAACTTTCAAGAAGAGCTGAAGCGTTCTTATGCTGCCTTTGATTGAACTACTCTACGTTCGTATGTACAGAGTTCTTTGTTTTAAGTGATACCGTCTATATATCTGCCAAATATTGAATGTAGACTGAATAGCAAGTAGTATGTTATACAATGTATACCAACCTGCTGGTAAGTAACATCCATGCAAGCTTTACCCCCTAAAAAAATCACCTTACTGACCACATTCCAATAGATTATCTGAACCATAAACGTCTGGTAAATTCTGTATAGTGCACATGCTCAATAAAATAGAGCGATGTACATTTTTTTTTTCTTGGAACAAGTTACCATGCAAAATTTGCTCTTACAAGTGACAGGTCTTTTTTCAATTACAACTGACACAGTAAAATGATGTTTTAATGGCCATGGTCAGATTTTCTTATCATCAACTCATGCTGATTTCAATATCTCTAAAATATTGCATTTAAAAATAAAGCTTTCAAATGTGGGATTTTTTTTTTATAAGCAAGCCAGGATAACAGCAGTATAATAGCAGAGTAGGATTGATTTGCAAAAAGTAATCAGCTACAAAGAAGCTTGCTTCTACCATATATAATCATATGTTTTAATATAATCCATCTTGACCAGGGCAATGAAAGAACAAATTACCATGGCAACAGCCAATATTATAGCTAGATATGATCAATGAAAGTACTGCCTTTATGTGCAATGTGCATTAATTTTACAAAATTTACTACCATGTTTTCCAATTTATTATAGATATATGTTGATTTATTCTGATCATAAAAAAGGCAAATTTTGCATTTATGGCACCATTAGAAATTGGAGAAGACATACTGCAATTATAATATCAGTTTTTTTTCACCAAATTCTAAAAGTGAAAGTAAAAAAAGCATATCATTTCAACTAAGATATGTGCTGCCATCTATCATCTATTTACATGTGAACACTAGGGCCATCAATCAATGTGTTTCTTCAAAGAAGTGCCATCTATCCAAAAGTCGCCTTGAAAGCAGTTCAGATCACAACCATAGTGAAGCCAGAGAAGCCAAACAAAACATCACAACCTCTAAAGATTAGTTTTACACACCACCCTGTTTCATATGCATATACTGCAAATACTTCAGGCTCAAGCCCACAAATGTTTTTTTTTTTTTTTTTATACAGTTCAATTGCCAAACGTTGAAAACAATTTGAGATAAATCAATTAAATTACCAAAGAAATAAAATAGGACTTTCTCATTTCCTTTTCTTTGAAAATAAATTGAGGCAAAGCAATATCAAATTAGAAAAGAAACAGAGTTCATATTTCATGTATTTTTTTTTCTTTTGGCCAAACAGGGCAAGTGCAGGTAAGTATATGCATATTACTATAATATATAATATATTATATATTATATATCAAGTTGACAAGTACATGTGTATATACAGTATATATCATGCATGTATATGTACACCTATGTAAACAAATTGGTACTAATCCAATTCCAACCACTGCAAGCTCATCACTTCAAGATATATTTCATCATTATTAAGTATAATTTAAATATTATAATTTTGGTATCTATTAAGTATTCTGTACAAACTTTGTGTATAATTATCATATGTATAGAACAGTACTAGTAATTAACAATATTAACAGATTCTCATGGAATGGTCGCTTTAAAAATTTAACCCGATTATTAATCTTTATAACAATGTTGTATTATAAGTTATTTCATATACAACTACTTCTTTTTCTATTATTGTTATGTAGTTATCTAGTGATTTTAAACATTTTAAAACAGACTAATTAACACTACTGTAGTCTTTAAAGAGATAATTTCTATCTCTAAGCACCTAATTATCAAAATTATTCCCTATAACCTTTGCTCAATTTTGTGACAACTGACAAGCGTTACAGTAGATCGCAACTCGCTGGGCGTCTGGCCCTCAGAATACCTCTCATTGGAATTCACTTGGGTGTCAGGGTGCGCGATTTCGTTAGAATGGCCCTCGTCCTGCGTGGGCGGCTTGTATAGACAGAAAGCCAGGATGAAGAGAAGAAGCGAGATGGACTTCCCGCAGACTCCGATGAATAACAAGTAGGTGCCCATCTTGCTGTTGTCGTAGACGTAGCAGGCACCTTTCTCTCCGCAGGAATCCTGCCATAGGTGGCAGGTCAGGTCTATGATGGCCCCAAAGAGAATCCCTGCAGGAATCGTCCCTGGAAGAAGTCAAAGACAACATAACCTAGTAGTCAGCACACACTGTCCAAGGAAAAAAAAATAAATGGCCTGTATTTCTGTGAAAGAGTGACAGAGTGAAAAAATAAGAGTTTGTACAGAAGGAGAGCAAACAGGGAAGTATTCTGATGTTAATTAATTCGTGTAAGCTATAGATAATAATCATAAGTTTAAACTTTAAGTTATACCTCACAAAGCACTGACATTCTTCAACGTGTGTTATTATGAAACCAAGCACTTTTCACCAATGACATAGCAGTAATAGAAAGTATATGATAATAAACAGTGAGGTGCAAAAGTAGACATGACTGGCTATGAACCATGCTTTACTTCTACTTACCTAGGCATCGTACCAGTATCCACTGTATACCCAGGGCAAAGGACTTCTGACTCTCTGGGACACACCTAGATATAATAATAATAATAATAATAATAATAATAATAATAATAATAACAAATTTATTGAATAAATTTTTAAAAAAACATTCTAAAAACATTCTGAAAAAAAAAAAAAAAAAGCCAGCAGCCGGATAAACATTCCTGCAAATATCTATGAAATTTAAAAACTCAACACCGAAAGAAAAAAATATCACTTAGCAAAAAGATTGCTTTAGCACATCATTGCTGGAAACTGGCAACAATCACCAAATTAATGGTCAGTCATTTCAGTTCACTTAGTTCCACAATCTTATATCACATTACCAGACAATTAACTTAAATACAGTGTCTGCCCCTTAGCCAAAATCCCCACCGAAATAGACCAGTTCTGCTAGTATGATAACCTTTATGTGGAATACAATCATTAAGTTAATCTCACTACGCATTAAAGGTAAAGTATAAAGTTTATCTCACCTGAGAGTAGCACTGAGAGCAGGCATGCTGCCTATAAAGGTAAACAACATCACAAAGGCAAACACGGGTAGGAAGATATACAGGTAAATACAGTCGCTCTCACACTTCCCCAGGGATGCCATGTAGCCATCTTGTTGACTACTGCTGCCATCTATACATGAACAATTGTAGTAGTACTGAAATAAAAACAAACAGGAAGATGTACAGGTAAATACATTCACTATATCCCAGGACAATCTCAACTGCCACAATGACAATTGTGGTATCTCAACCACGACAATCTTAAATGCCACAATGACAATTGTGGTATCTCAACCAGGGCAATCTCTTCATCAAGTTTTTAAACTTGATGAAGAGATTTTAATTAATTTAAAAGTTAGACTTAGGTCAGTCAGAGTGAGCTCACTGACAGATGCTTTGCATGACTTAGTATCAGTGGGGATACCTCTGCAGCTGTATCTTAAAAATAATTATTTCGCATATTCAAAATTTGTCACTGACTATTTTAATACACTTTATCAAATTGTTTCAAGGTAACATATATTTGAAGTCTTGACTCAGCCATTAATGGAATTCCTCTCTAGTTCTGCCCTTACTGTTAAAACTTCTTTCCTATATTACAGCATATTGTGGAAAATCTTTCTCAAAACTGGTAATACCATGTATTGTATAAAAAAAGTTTTGCCACCTGTTGTAAAAATATATATTAACTGCCACTGGTGGTGCCACCTATTGTCAATTCCCTCACCTTATTATCACCCTTGTCCACCTCAGTAAGACATCCCGCATGGCACGGAGAGTAGTACATGACACCGTCCACGCCGCACACTGTGTCGTAATTCTCCCTGGGACAGCCACAGTCCGTGTTACAGCTGTCTGTGAGGTTGACTGAGCTGATGGATGTGGAACTGGAAATGATGAAAATATTTGTACAAGTTATTTCTTAGCTTTGGTAGTTCACAAGAATACTGTTACTGTAACAGTTACAATAGTCAAAAGATTTGATAGACTTAGTAAACTATATCAAATTGTAAATAGACTACAAATGATAGATAAATCAGTGAAGACAACAGTGGCCCCACAAAAAACGGTAATTTAAACTGAAGCCAGACCAGTGATTCTTTATAAATCTGTACAATTGCTGCCTACTATTTTCTTTTATACATGAAATACTGTCCAATTTTCTACCTTAATTTGATCTGACCACTTTATACTTTTGTATGTCAGATTTAAGGCAAAGTATGGAGTTTGCAGTGTATGATAACACCCATTTGTGTTAGATGTGACAACACACCTTGTGTAAGATGTGACACCATATATTGTGTCAAGTGTGACAGCACACATTGTGTTAGATGTGACAGCTTAGATTGTGTTAGGGGTGACAGCACACATTGTGTTAGGTGTGACAGCATAGATTGTGTTAGGGGTGACAGTACAGATTGTGTTAGGTGTGACAGTACAGATTGCGTTCGGTCTGACACCATATATTGTGTTAGTTGTGACAGCAGATTGAGTTAGGTGTGACACCTTGACTAACCTGTTAACATAGGCAGTGTTGACACCAGCAAACTTCCCATTAGGACACTGCACCAGGAAGATGAGGACAAGGAGGAGGGACATGATGGTGGTGAGGATGCACAGCTTAATGATTCCTCGACACTTTAAGTCGAACCTCTTTACGAAGTATCCACCCAGAAATGTGCCCCCACCTCCAGCTGGGATCACTGCAAAACCTGGAAATGTGAATTAACATCAGTCTGTGGATTTATTGTGACTTTACTCAGAACATTAACGAAGTCAGTGTTACATGCAAATTGCAACTTTAAAATTGACTCCATGCAAAATGCTAATTAAACTGAAACCAAGGTTATAAATTTTGTTCAGTATCAGTCATTTTTTTAAACTTTTATCCAGTAGGTGCTCTGTTCACTGTCTTGTTTCTGATCAGCAATTTTCTGATCAATAGTAGGATGGAATTATTTTGGCATAGACTATGTGCATGCAGTGTGACAGTAACATTGTGTTTGGTGTTGAAGTGACATTGTGTTAGATGTGACAGTGCCATTGTGTTAGGTGTGACAGTAGCATTGTGTTAGATGTGAAAGTAACATTGTGTTTGGTGTGACAGATATGCATCAAGTACTCACCGACCACTGTAGCTGCCCAGGAGGAAGACAAACTGAACTGGTACTCTACAAACTTTGGAGCAAAAGCAGTGAAACCACTCAACAACAGACCTGAAATTAAAACCATAAATATTAACTGTACCCAGGAATGCTGCCTGATGTGGTTTCTCAATACATTGTGTTAGGTCTGACAGAAATATCAACTGTACCCAGAAAAGCTAAAACTTGAACCCAGACTCTTGGAAACTTAAAGCTGGATTCAGTTAAGGATTTAATTCTGATACAAATGTTATCCAATTTTTGTTCACATGCAGCACATTTAAAACAATCCATCTATCCAATTTAAACACCTAGTCTTATACACAATGTATTAAAGCATTTGTTGCTTCAGAGAAGTCTCTTCTGGACCATGTAAATGTTGACAGCTAGTGAAATGAAGTCTATTCAATTTCAGCACAATATCTTTATCAAAAGGTTCAGCTCCATACAAAGTACATACCCTCTGAGGCCCCAGCCAGATTCAGAAACATGTATGTTGGATTCAGAAGCAGAACCTTGACAGCTCTAGGAAGTGTTTTTAGGCTCTCCCAGCCTTTGGTTTGTCTGACCCCCTCCGACCCTTTGTATGCCTCTGAGACACGGAGCTTTCTCAGCTTCGCAGCACCTGTATAAAAAATTGCTTATGTATAGCATTCTGAACTCTCAGAGACTTTGGTCACCATTGCTTATGACTCTAATAGGTAGGACTGCCATTTTGCAGCTTTAGAAAACCTCATTTTCAAAATTCAAGTTTGAATATGTTATTTTTTTCTCTGTTGGGTATTATTCAGGCCCCTTCTATCTAACATACTTACTAAATGTACCAAAATGGCAGATTTTTATCAACACCCTTTGAAAGTTCAGATCATTTATTTTGGATGCAACATTACAATAATATGATGGAACCTTGATATCTGTTGGACTTACGCCAAGCTTTACATCAGGCAATGGTCAAGTTCAGCCAACATAGGAGAAACAAATGTGCACTATGAAATTTATTTAAGGAAAAAAAATTAGCTTCTTTTTAATTTTGTTTCTACCTGTAACCACTCAATAGAAATGTCCAACTTTTAAGAAAGAATGACTTTAAAATATAGTATTTTTAAAATTCACAATTTTTGCCCATTGAAAAAATTGAGTAATTTATGTAATTTATATCAGATAAAAAAAAAAGCCCTGCTGTCTCACCTGGTAGAGATTTGGGGAAGCCCAGAAGACATATGGCTACCAATATTCCTAAAACACCACTGAAGATAAACCCTATCCACCACGCTCCAACCCAGGTAGGACTCCCAGGGTACTGCTTCAAGCTGGAATGTTAATTTGTTAATATTATAAAACAACTGGTGTAAAGTTTAACTCAAAGGTAGGACTCCCGGGGTACTGCTTCAAGCTGGAATGTTAATTTGTTAATGTTATAATATAACTGGTGTAAAGTGAAACTCAAAGGTGGGGTTCCTGGGATATTGTTTTAAGCTGGAGTATTGATTTTATTACTGCTTTTACTGACAAAGCTTACCAAAGGATCAGAGAAGTGATGATACCACCTCCAGGTCTTGTACCACCAGCAGGATTAAGTGCAATCGAGTGCAATGGTGAGGCTGCCAGGGTATTACTTTAATACTTGACTGGGACATTGATTTGTTAATATTACAAAATAAATGTTGCAAAACCAACCAACAGTGAAGTTGATGAGTAGTGATGCAAGGCTAGAATTATCTGACAGTGTATTTTATTATTGTTTTTGATAATGAAAATAATCGATTTTTTAGATTTCAATTGCTGTTGCATATGGTTTAGCAGCTGAAGGGACTGATGTTTCAGACAGCAAAACCGTGATGACACAGACACACTTCACAGGACTCACCTGACTGGGTCTATGGAAGGATCTGTATAAATATTAAGGAACTGTCCTCCTGCCAGGAATCCTATTGCTGGACCCACTATGGCAAACGTGTAATATATACCTGGGGAAGATAGAAAAATAATGAAAAAAAAAGGGAAGGGTGAAAGCAGACCAGAATTGAATTAACATGGATAAAAATTATGGTTGCATGGATCAGAAACATTATATTAATTGGATATGAAGTTCATATATGTGCTAAAATTTATTCAAGAGGTTGGAGAATTTAAAAAGAATTTGAAAATTCGATCTCAAAAAATATAGGAAAATAAGATTTATTCATAGTAGAATTAATCTTCAATCAAAACTTTTCAAAAAATTTGATGTGCACGTAGATGTACATCTAGACTTGTCCATATCAATACATTTCAATAAAATAGCTGTTGTTTGTATATGCCATTTGCATATCTAGAAAATACATTAAATAAACACTGTTAGAAAAAACTTACCAACATATAAGGAAGTTAATTTAGGTTTTAGATTTTCATCCAGATATGTCACTCCTAACGTATACAGAGGGGTGGCACCCGCTCCGTGTAAAAGCTGCGCCAGTATAAACACATATTTATAGTCCGACAACTTGTTTTGACTAACGTCACATAATGATGTGGAATTCTGGGATAGTGAGCAATATTTAACGACTCCGCCCTCTGCGACAATATAAGGTCCAGTAGTGAAATGCGGGAGCGCAAATACGATGGAGCCGATCCCCATAACAAGAACGCCATAGCCCAGCCAACGAGGTTTGTGGCCAATGCCACCGAAGTAACTGACAGGAAGGAGGCAGATCACTGATGCCACATCGTACATGCTGAAGATGGTTCCACTCACAGAGCTGGGAAGATCGTAACGTCGCTCGATGGATGATAGCACAACACTCACAAAGCCGTTTACTATCATCCCCTGAAGAAAATAAAAAAGTTGTTGTAAATTTCTGCTCTAAATTCACCACTGCGTTTTGTAATTAGCTCTTAAAATCAAAACATAAAAGTATATCAAGGCTAACTTTGATGTCTTTTAGGCTTAGCAGACACAGAGCAGTACATTACTAGTGCCGCCCTTAATTTAAATCATTAACAGAGGTCAGGAATTATCAGGCCAAGTGCTGCCATCTATAGCTAATTTCAAATAACCCCCCCCCCCACACACACACACACAAACACACACATACACATTCTAGTGCTAGGATTGGCAAATGGTTATGGCAAGCTTAAATGTACTTTTAATGAGGTAACGTGAAGCAGGCATCAATCAATCAATATGTCCTCCAAACTAATGGAGTCTTCTACAGCTTCAGCATGAATCTTTCTTGGCCATCAACACTTTACAGGCAGTAAATGTCAAATGCCATTGATCAGAGAGAAAGAGATGTGCACAGCTATTTGATTTTTGTTCACCAGAGAGGTTTTCAAGTTATCAAAAAGGAGAGGTCAATCACAGTTGCACAGAGTACTAATATGTGGTGACTAAACGTGTGAAATTTATTTATTCATTTTTGGGGTTGGGGGGGCCCGGGGGGGCCGGGGGGGGGGGGCATGATGGCAATTTCAGACATGATTTATTTGTTGTTCAATTTCAAATTTAACAAATTTATCTGTTGTTTGATATAAATTGACCTATCTATTTACTTACTTAATCATTCAGTCCTTGAGCTACCTACACATTTACTTAATATTCATTTATCAGATCCAAAATTATCAAAGGCTGGGATAGTGCTGGCAATTTTCCTCTCAGTCAAATCACTACTTTTTCATCACTTTTTTTTTCTACAAATGGTTTAAATTTGACTTAAACATGTCAAATCAACCATATTTTGTTTAGCCAACTAAGGTCAGTTTTAGTATTTTGCTAAATTGGCGAGTGTTAGCGCTACCCCAAAAAATAGAACAGCTTATGACTCACCTGGAGGGCCCCTGCCCAGCATAGACAAAACAGGACCCACTTGGGACTCCTAAACCTCTGCAAGAACCCTGGTTTCACACCCCTCCATCCACACTCCTCCTCCTCCTCATCCTCATCCTCGTCATCATCAACCACCGACCCTGAGGTCAACGACCCTGAGGTGACTGACCTGTCGCCCTCGCCCTGAGCTGCCTGGTCTCGGTCCACCTCCCCCGGGAGATGTGGGGGTTTAGTGTGCGCAGATTCTTTATTGTCTGTTGTCATGGCTGGTTTGTGATCGGCATCACTGACGTGAATGTCGTTTTCGTTTTGGGGACTAGATGATGTGCCGTTTGTTGATATGTGGGCGTGTTTTGTAGAATCTTCCGTCTCTGTCATGCTTTGTTATTGATCTGTGTCAAGACCTTAGCTGAGACAGACTGAGAAACTGTGGATTTTAATAAATAATTGGCATCTGATTTCAGTGTTAGCAAAGGATCCAGACTTCACAAATGACATGAAAACAATTCACAATTCTTAAAATTGTTCTTTGGACAATCAAAATTTCTGTTCAGCACAGCAGTAATCAGTAATCCTGTAACTGGTCCAGTGGTGTCCATAAACTGGGTCAGTTTGTGAAAGGTTTGTGAAAGGTTGAGAATGCAGGTTCGGTCAGCAGTGTCAGGTCATGGTGAAAGACTTTGGGCACACTTGAAGAACTACAAAAAAATTTTAAAAAACTGACAATACTGAAATAAATACAATCAACTTCTGTTACTAGTACATATATCAATACTTGTATTTTGTAAACTCAATTCATTTAATAACTTGAATACATATATTTTATTCATTTACTCTTTCTCACATGTTTATTTTATTTTTACAGTTAATTACTCTCTTCCAGATACAGTAAATAGAGTGAAATTAATTATCGGTGCCTTAATCTGATTCTATTTCAGCGTAAATTTCAAATGCTTATATAGAGGGGTTATTTATTTTCCACGTCTCTATACATGCCTGCAGTTATATTTACAGCATATAAAAATGGGACCATTTGGAGAAAAGCGTTAAGCTAGCATGATCATATTTCATACTGAGTCTGTGCTATCGCCAATGCAACCTTCAGTGTAATTAAGCAATACCCCACCAATGAAATTATTATCACTTTTATCATCAATATCTCTTGAAATTATTGACTCATTATCAGCTAAAACATTACCCCGTTTACACAATACCGTAAATCAAACGAGGTAGATGTTAATATGTTCAACTTCATTTTCTGATGACTTCCTTGAATGACCCAGACACGGAAAGGTCGACGTCTTAAAAATGTCAATAAAAAAGTCTAAATACTGACGACGTGGATTTCGAGGTAAACAATGTTGAAGGCGCAGCAACAAGCCACCGTTTCTGACTTAAAATCACTCATCTAAACAAAACCGTTTCATATATAAACACTTTACAATCTTAACCATCAAAATATGGTGAATTTTAGCATAAATTTCTCTCCACTTACCAGGATAGTATCCGTTAATATCACGTATGGAGCTTGGCTGCCATGCCGCTCAGGAAATTAGGTCAAGGTCATTTATGTTTACGATAGGGGGCGTGGATCACGAGACCTATCAGCATGCAGCATACCAAGGTCTCTTGAACTGACCTGTTAAAAGTGCAAAACTACAGAATAATGTACGGACCTTGCTTGAAGCGAGGTCTGTCTTAAGACGTAGCTTTATAACTTACTTTGGACGCTAAAACTTTTCAATTTAGAGTATATATACTTAATTACATGCATGTAGGCCTACTTGAGCTGCACCTAAACAAAAAAAAAATGTTTTTTTTTAATCTTCTTTAATTTGACTCTTAAACTCATGACTTAAAGTAAAACATATTCTGGCAGGCCTACGTTCAGGGGCGGATCCAGGATTATTTGAAGTGGGCGAACGGTGCCATTTGGTAGGCCTACGGTTTAGAACTACGATTCAGCTGGTCAAAATTCTAATTTCAAGAGGGGTCCATTATAATGTTTTTTTTTTTCCTTTTTCAGAAATCGAAGGGGGGGGGGGGGGGTCAGGACATCTGTCGACACTATGAAATTAGCTGCAAGCTTTTTATTGCGTTATTTGAAGGAAACCTTCAAGACATTTTCTGAGACGTTAGACGCTATATGCATCCTCGCTTCCTGACAAGTTTCAGATTTTCTACTTTTGTAAAAATGAATTAACTAATGTAGATAGATTGGAGAATGTAAGATATGGCTTTGCGAGCGACAGCAACGAAAGTTGAAAATAAGTCCGTATTCATGTATATGCTGTTTGTGTGGGAAAAGATAAAAGCTAGCGTTTATTTATTTATTTATTATTTATTATTATTATTCTTATTATTATTATTTTTTTTTTTTTTTGTACATTGCTAGACTCGTGTTAATTAAGTTCCACTTGGACAAACAATTCTTCCGCCCGCTTACTTTTAATAATTTTTCTTTAAATGTTAAACGGACCTATATATATACTGACCTCCCCTGAGACAAGAGACTGATGGGCTGCAGGTCTCTCCTAGGTAAACTGACCGCCATTAAAGTGTGTAGAATATGTTCTATTAACAATGTAAATTTAATTCCTGTCGACCTTTTAAGAAACGCTAGCTAAGCATGTACACATATTATCATTATTATTATTATTCTTACTTACCTGACGTAGGCTACCTCTAATACATGTAAATGGACATTAGGCTAATAAATAACGATACCCGCTGCACTTAATGTACGTACTGTACATATACCTGTACACATATGTATATGTATATGAAAATTTGTGACGATACAAGAGTCCGGTATGTTAGGTATTCGAAGGGAAGTGGCTATAATTTACACACGTTATCTATACATCTGAGGAAGTAGTTAAATCTATTGTTATACCGCTCTTTGAATATGTAATACGTCATTATCATGGTTTACGTTGACATGTGCATTGACAAGTAGAGGTAACCCTTAATTTGTGCCTTTAGCTCCCGCGAAAACTTGAAGAAACGACGTGCAGATTTTTTTTTTTTTTTTTTTTTTTGCTAGAAATGCGTGCTTTTTTGCATCTATTCCTTAATTGTTAATTAAATAATGTTTAATATATTTATTTTAGCTGTAGTAGAGCGTACATGTAATTGACTGTCAAGAATAACGCAGGTTCTAAGTAAATCCCCCAAAATTGGCCCCACATACACTGTATCATGCTGTCTGTGATTTAATAAAAACGTATCGATGTTTCTATTCCATGATACATTTGGTTTGGCTTGCAAATGATATCGTTTTCAGCTAAGGGTCGTCTTCTTACATTGCGTTTCATGCGAGTTTCTTTTTCTGGTATTCTTTTTAAAACTCCGTCTTGAATGATATATTAGGCAGCGTATACCTCAGCTCTGCTCCCTCTCCCACTTAGCTTCGTACATACCCCCTCCCCCTAGTCTGTTTATCTTAATCTATACTTGGATCCATCTTTTGAAGTATTCTTTGGAATTTTTTATGCCATAAAACATTAAGCATTATTATTAATTTTTAACATTTTATTTCATGGATACCATTTCTCTTAATATACACACCATACTAGGCCTACACATAAAGCAGACGACAGCAAGACAGAGAAAACACAAGAAAACCACTAACAAAGCAAAAACCTCAGCCAGGGCCGCTTAAATGCCCTTTTTTAATCGATAATTAATTAATTAATCAAGTTATTAATTTAGTCATTAATAGCTCGCCACAAGAATCTTCTCGTTTCTACTGTTAAGGCCACATCTGGCCTAATTCTTATCATCCGATAAAATCAAAATTCGCCTAAAGCTTTTTGAGTTAAGCCTTTAGCGTAAGAGACAATTAAACCAACGGCAGAGGTAATGAACAAAAATTTACTTAATGTACTAAAGTTTTCCTCCACACAGACGTCTTGCCGCCAGGGCGGCTACAAAATCGATGATTTCCACAGCCGTCATCAAGGTGCTTCCCAAGATGAGTCCTAAAGCGCCCCCTATATCTGCAAACAGCGCCAACATTGTATATGCCTTCTGTTGAGTCATCTTTTCTACGTTTAACGTCTTATAAAAAATCTTAACCTTAACGACATTTTCATCAATATAACTCTCCGTAATGCCGGGATACCGGTGCATTAAGTCCTGCTTGAATGCCTTGGTCATCTTGGCGTGAGACACAGCATAGTTGTAGATGCGTTCCCGACAGGGGGCGCTGCAGCGACAGGTGGACATGGCGGTGGCGACCTCTTTGAAGGGCGTGGTCAAACATGGAAAAATCGTGATAGGAGAACAACTTGGGACGTCCGGGAGGTAGTTCATAGGTGGTGACTGGCACCCGCATTTAGCGAGAGTGAAATTAAAGCTGAAAAAATGATGTTCAAAACGCACATTATACAGCTATCGTTATTCGTAAGGAGAAATTAGCTTTACATATATTAGCCAGACCCCCATCTAAATTTAATTCATACAAAAGGCTGTGTACGTCTTTTTCTTGCAACAAGAAAGAAATTATTCATGTTGGTTAACGTACGTATTGTCATGGACTTCTTTCGATTAAGATAAGGAGACAATCCCTGTTGTGAAACCGACCCCAAAAATGGCCATTTAGTCACTCACTAGCATTCATTCAGGCAGTTCAGCTGAGAGAACACGGGGAAATACGCCAGTTCGCTGTCGTGACAGTTTCCATGAGGAGGCGGTAGGTTCTCCACCTAGAAAATCAGACTGAGAACTAGAATGGCAACTTTAAATAAGATGGTATAGTCAGACAAGGCTACGTTTACCCAGCAGTTGCCTCGACTTGGAAGTTGACTGGACCAGAAATGTGGCTAAACCAGGGAATGAACTAAACCAGGATGTACGTTGGCTAGATCAGGAATAAATGCACTTGATCAGAAAGTTGGCAAGAGGAGATATTGGCCTAGACCAGGAAGTTGGCTACAGCTGGGAATTGGCTAGAGCAGGCAGTTGGCTAGACCCTAGGATGGGTTAGGCAAGGAAGTTGACTACACTAAAACGTTGGCTACACCAGGGAATGGGCTAGATCAGGCAGTTGATTAGACCAAGTAATGGACCAGACTGGATAGTTGGCTGGATCAGTCATTTGGCTAGACTGGGAATGGACTACACCAAGAATATGGCTTAACCAGGAGATGGCCTAGTTCAGGAATCTGGCTAAAGCAGGAGATTGGCTGGTCAAGGAATCTGGCTAGACCAGGGAATTGACTAGACTAAATACAATCATTGCTTGATAGTATATTTATTAACAATTATTTTACTTGTGTACTTTCAACTAACCATGTAGATAAGCATGTTACGCATATTTAGCAAATAAATAAATAAAAACACGCACCTGAGTTTGCCAGATTGCAATGTCCACAATAGAGCCGGGGGTCACCTTGGTGCCGGCTAGCTGTGGCACGGGGGTTTCACTCGGAGAGTGAACCATCACCTTTAAATGTGTAACACATGCCCAGTGGTAGTTATTATGATAAAGATTTGGTGTTACAATGAAATGTAAGATGGGTGTTATAGTTAGCCTAATGCATATGTGTCATAGATTTTTAAAGTCACCGTGGGTAATATGCGTTTGTCATGGTCTTTTAGCCATCTCAGTTAAGAGAGAATCCAGGTTTATTTGAAGGGGGGGGGGGTCCGAAGCCGACCCTCTCCCCCCTTGGCGTGGGGTTAGTGGCCCGCTGAAGGACCCCAAATTTCTTTTTGGTATTTTAGAGGGAAAACGGTTCCATTTAAATTTGGTACAGTTTAGAACTATGATTCAGCTAGTGAAAATTCTAAAATCAAGATGGGACCTTTGGGGTGATTTTTTTCAGGACCCCTTGACATCCCCCTAAATCCGCCACTGTCAATTGCTTAGGCTTATAAAAGATGTGACAGACATATTTAATACGGATGTTACAGTCATGTACTTCTGTTATTATAATAATCTAACACTCACGTTATAGTCATCTGTTAAAGTCAACTTTATTTCGTAGTTTTAGTTATATTACTACAGGTATACTAGCCATTGTAATACAAAAACGTAATTACGTAATAAAGGTGGTATAGTAAGATGTAGAGAGAAAGGTTGAGAGTTACTGGTACACTCACCTCTACACGCACACTCACACATACACACACACAGAGAGAGAGAGAGAGAGAGAGAGAGAGAGAGTACACGCACAGTAAATCCGGCCTCTTCAGTATTAAGGAAATACTCGTCAGTTTCAGCATTGAGAACCATTTGTAGTCCGCTTTCCTTTGCAGCAAGTTCCGTCGTAAGGTTTGATGTGCCTTTACAATAACAAACAGAATGGCTTGATGCAATTGGTGATGCGGTTAACACGTAAACAAACACTTCACATAGCACAGTAATCAAAAACACAATACCACACAACGCACCATAAAACCATACAAAACAACAATTATATATCACGACATAGCGCAACGCAACACAATGCAACAATCGCGACACAACACAACACAACATAACACTCTCAATACATAAAGACAACAGAATAAAATACTATACAACAAAATGCAACAGTCACAACATAACACAAGACATCAGAATAAAATACAATCACAACAAAACAATCACAAGACAACACAATACATACAAGAGAACAGAATAAAATGCTATACAACACAATGAATAGTCACAACATAGCACAACACAAGACAACAGAATAAGATACTATGACAACACAACAATCACAACACAACACAATACATACAAGATAACAGAATCAAATATACAACACAATGCAACAGTCACAACACAACAAATAAAATAATGCAAAACAACACAACACAACACAACAGAATAGAACACAATACAATACATTAGAGCACAACTTTACCATATTCACATATAACATATTACACTTACCAGTTAGTAGTAAACAGGATATAATACATGTTACGTATAACACTTAGTATTGGCATATAGCACATTATAACATGTAACACACATTGCCCTCAAGGTACCTGCATTAAAGGTATAGCAGCGACCTCCGCTTGTCATTGTCTCTGTGAAATTCAGCAAAGACAAGAAATATCCCGCCTCCCACATAATGTCCTAGAGAATACAAGAAAGCCATGGCTATTCGTTAATAATTGGTGAGCTGTTTAGTCAATGGAACCAACCTTACGCACTCTAGTAGAAAAACCATATTGCCCTCCGTAGGAGCACATGAAGTGTAAGTTCCTTTTCACATTGAATATTATATATTTATATGAACTGGTCCGCCTTGAGAGGCCCTAACTTGTAATTATGCTACAGGTGTCCTCCATTTTACGCGTTCTCCACAAGTTAGCTTCCTCCTACATAGATGAGTAAAGTAACTAACTGTGACGATCGAGCTCAGGGGAATTGGGCTGGGGGTACATTAATTTAGGTCTCTTTGAGCGCTTTCAGAACAGCTGACTTATAGATCTGAGGTTCATATATGGCAACCCACTAAAAGGCTTGTCGCTTGATTCCCGATTAGACACTGTACAGATATTCCCCGCGGGGATTACGCAACAAGCATTCAAGTGGGTCGGCCATATTTTATCCACCTCACTCCGCTGTTCTGAATGTACTCTTTCTCTTAGAGTATATTGCATTATTAAAAGAAAACGTACCTGGTTGAATAAGAACATTTCCTCTGGCCTATGACCATGAAAACGAAAGAACTCCGACCAGTTGTAGCCCGTTAGATTCATCTGCGAGACTCTCTGAAATCCTTCCCAGGAGAGCCTCGAAGCCGAGTATACGTAGGCCATATACTTGACTCCGGCAGCAGTTACACTGGAGTTTCTGAAGATGTTTATATTACACACAGTGACCGCGGGAAAGACGAGTGAGGGCTCTTGGGAATAAAGAACCTCCACGTTTACGGAGACTGGGTTGCTCTGGTAGTATGCGACTCGGTTCCAGATGTGGTAACAAAGGAAGGCAGCACCTGCCAGAACGCAGCACAACCACACAGCGCGTCTCACCAAACTGGACTTTGGGTCGACCACGTTCTTGAGTCCTAACACGCTGGCGGACTGGGCGAACGCGACCATGGCGTCTTTGACAGGTTCATTGTGGTCAGCGTTGTCGGATGTCAACATCTGTGAAGACGTTTTTTCGCCTTGAGCGGAGACTGCATTTCGTTTTTGAAAACCACCCAGCCACCCGTGCCCCTTAGATACGTCCATGTTAACGCCTTGAGCCGCTGGGAATCAGTTCCTTCTCGCTGGAGGCAATCGTGTTAAGTGTCTGTTTCCAATGTCTGTGCCGTTGCCACTTTTTGTAATGCTTTTGATTAAGGTCTAAATGTTAGCGGTAAATAAGGCGAAAGTCATTTCTATGGCGCTGGTACATTAAGCTTTGTTTGAGTTCATAATTTTAACAACTCTGCGGATTTGTTTTGGATGAGAGTTGAGTGCTTCCTATTGATTGGTTGAAACCAGAGCTGCATTTGTTTTCAATACAGGCACTGGACTCAAAACATATGGCATACCTATGTAATTGAAAGACTATTGATGACCAACCCTGATTCTGTAATTGCAAATTTCATATTTATGATCTGATAATGAGTGATGAATAACGTACAAACATTTCCCTTATCTAGATATACTGCAAAAGTGATGGGACTTAATTTTTGTTAAACTGTACTATTTTCACTTCAATTATCAAGTTCAATAAGCAAATCAATGCTCTGAAAGAATGCTTGAACAATAGCGAATTAGAAATAATAAATTAATGAATAGATAGATAAATGAAACAAAAAGAGATTTTAATTCATCAAAACTTCGCTTAGTTCCTATTTCGCAGCGTGATATGAGCCCCCTGTAGCCACGGCAAATATTCGGAAGTATTCTTAATCGTTTCTATAATAAAGCAGTATTTCGTCACAAGTTTACAAATTGGTCAATTAGCATCCTCTCCCTCCATTAACCATTGTTATATCGCGTTCCTGTGCGACCCCAACGTTTGCTAAATCAATGTCAACTTCATATGATATATCTCCCACTTAGCCAGACACCAAGGTGATCGATGGGATTAGATCATACATTTAGCAAATAACGTTAACTTTACCAGGTGCTTCATGCACTCAGAATTGTGATGGAAATATTCTTTAAATGACAGCTTCTTGCAATGATTCCTAAATAATAGGCAACGAGTGTGAAAAAGTAAAAAAAATAATAATAATAATGTACGAAATCGTTCTGAACTACTCAGTACAACAGCAGCAATCCTGAAATAGAGTGTACGGCATGAACACGTTCAAAACAAGATGCGTCATCAGGTGATATTTCTGCGGATCAACTAGTTCTGAATCCGCCCTTGCTCTCCACTACAAGTCTTCTGTCTTATACAGAATTAAATTGCAGCATATGTAGAGAGTTATGTATCCTATATGTATCCTATGTATCCTAGCTAGTACACTAGTACGTACATAGCTATATATTTATCTCCCAAAGCTTTCCAACAGCTCCAAACAAGGCAAGGGCAAAATTTAGGGATGTTATTCTCAAGACACAGGTCCACGCCATCTCCTCTCCCGCACTGTAACAATTCTGGCTTCTGTCAATGCCTTACTTTTATGTTTAATATTAAGATTCAAATCAGTTTTATGCCATAAATAGTGCATTTAGGCCGCATTAACGAAGCGGACTAACAGATCCACGGACATTTAGCTGACACACTTAAAAGCGTGTAGCATAATCCCATAATAAGACAAAGAATAGATTCCCCGCGGGGAATACACGACAAGCATGCGATTGGGTCGGCCATATTTGATCTGTGGATCTGTTAGTTCGCTGTCGTGCATGTTACTGCTGTAGTTTCTGTCAAAAACGAATCCCTCTCCGTCTGGTCCCGGTCCATGTGCAATCTCACACACGACCACGAATTTCATGTGCTAACACAAGCTTTTTCTATTCAATTGCCACATACATGTACTAATGTTAAACGAGTACATTGCATACTGTGTAATAATTTACTCTGTTTTACCCTTATAAAGTGGTGAATATGTTTTATGGTTTACATCTCCTAAAACGAAACATCTTGAAATATTGTTTTTATTATGATATATTTGGAATGTTCCGGAAGCCCAGTGAACGGCTATATACCAGACATGGAATTGCTTTTTGACTTTTGAGCCCTGTTATTGAATATATTTTCTTCATTAAGGTTGGAAAATTGGCGGCAAAGGATTCCTAACTGATTCCTGTAAGTTGAATGTCAAAAGCGCTAAAATGTACGTATACAATGTATTAAATAGACCAGTCAACCAAAACCTTAGATGACTTCGACATTTTCCATAATTGACAAAGACGAAAACCATTTCACACTAATTGAACCTTAAGATGATTTTATTTGCACTTGTATTTGCACTGACTTGCTTGGCGTTGAATTTACTTTACATTTAATTAACAATTTGTCATTTAACTTTACAATGAAATGTTTCATTCGTCCAAGATTCCGAGGAGAACTTTTACGAAGGTGTGCGATTTATCTGACATTGAAAACCTGAGACCAAATCGATCCAGACTTGTTACGTAAACGTCTGGTTTTAGCTGACGATACAATGCCACTTTCGTCGAATAAATGGCATCGATCTCTAACAAGTATGCAGTAGGCGATTCTTAACAATACGTGCAATTTGAAAACTTTTATTATTTAAATATAACTATTTCTGTCACATAATGTGGGTCCTATTCTTCTTGATAGAAGAAGGCTTTGAATAAAATATATGACCACACAACTAGGAAATACATAGTTTCACCAATTCGTTGTTATTTTTTCTGTTATGTGCACTGTAATTGAAGATATGTAGTGGCGACATTGATTTTATTGTTTTTATTATTATGAAAGTATGTTGCCAAGTTAATTTCTGTCCTTTTTCGCTATTGATCTATGAGCCTTGTTATTTTCGGAAAGTATATACATGAAATATTGCTATTGAAATATCAGATCCCAGGGGCGGATTAAGAATAATTTGAATTATCTGAATTTTTTTTTTTTTTTTTTTTTTTTTTTTTTTTTTTTTTTTTTTTTTTTTGAGGAAGAACGGAGCCTTTGGTACGGTTTAGAACATTCTGCAAAATTCTAATTTTAAGAGAGGACCATTGGTGTGACTTGTTTGCAGAAATCGAAATTTCTAAATCCGCTACTGGATCCATTAGCATTGCATTCATCACCTGTAGAACTCCACAAAATGGGGTATTAAACGATTTAAGTACTTAAATTATGGTGTTTTCCTCAAAGTATTCATCATCTGAGAATGTGATTTTGCATGTTTCGAACAATGCTAAATCTGTTATTGTGAAAGTCTGCCCCCTATTCTCAAAATACGGAAACATGACAGTTTTTCAGTAATTAAAAAAGAAGAATTTTTGAAAGAAAAAAATGCTGGTTTAGTGGGCTGGGGACAAAGGGCTTTCACTGTCAGAAATAAGAAGAAAATATAGTTTTGAGCCCTGTTGCAATTTATTCTATTTTTATTACAGTGATAGCTATGAAAATTAATGTACAACAACAACAATAACAAATATACACGTAGCTTACAAAAGGATAATTGAGTCATTGTTAATATTAAAGTTGCACTTTTATAACATGCCACAGTCAAATTTTTTTCCCAAGTAAATACCGGACCGCGAGAACTGCGCAGAAATCCACGATTTCCACAGCTGTCATCAAAGTGCTGCCCAATACAAGCCCTAAAGCGCCCCCTATATCGGCAAACAGCGCCAGCATGCTGTAGGCCTCCTGTTGTGTTATCTTCTCTACAGTCAAGGATTTGTAGAAGACCCTTAGCTTTAAGAGGTTCCTGTCTATGTATTCCACCGTGGTGCCTGGGTGCCTTGCAACTAGTCCGTGCTTGTAACCGTCGGCCATCTTGGAACTGAACATGGTGTATTCGTAAATAGTCTCACTACAGGGGGCATGGCACCCACATCGATTGAGGGCTATAGAAAATGTCTCGAAGTCTACATCCCAACACGGTAATAACTCGACTGGGGAGCACTCCGGAACGTCGTCATGGTAACGGCCCCAGGGGACCTGGCAGGAGCACTGCTTCAGAGTCAAATTGAAACTGAAAGGACGATTACAAAAGATGTGATTTTAGGAAAATATTTGATTTTGTGGTATGTTTTCATTTAAACAGCAGCGCAAATGTGTTGTAGAAGTTGTAAAAGCCCGGACATAAACACATTACATGTAGAATAGATAGACGTAGAACAGATATATTGATTGATACGAAAAGTTTAACATGCCGGCAGATTATACAAAACTTGTATCATTGCACATGTAACGGAGAAAATCCCCTGAAAATACGTTATGTTGTTTGTCAGAGTACAGGCATTTGTGCATCTACTTATTGGATATGATGATACTTTTAACTTCTTTTCACTTTCTTTCTATATGTCGCGCTTTGTGTTGCAAATTCAACCACTTTGCTACTTACAAACATTCTTCAATACAGTTTACTGTGGAGAACTTGTCAAAGTAAGCCAGCTGTCGTTCCTGACACTTACCGTGTGGAGGAGGCAAGTTCTCCACCTACGGAAATTAATAGAACCCTCGCTTAGCAAAATTACCAATATAATGCATGTTTAGCTCAGTCATTAATATTATAACGACACAGGCTTAGTACATTCATTAGTATACAAAGGCTACTTAGTCATTGATGCGACGCATGCAGCTCAGAAATGCTCAGAAAAAAAAATCTTGCGAATGCAAAACAGTACGTCCACAGAAAAAAAGAACATTTTACTGTATATTTCTTCTTTTGCATCTCTCTCTCTCTCTCTCTCTCTCTCTCTCTCTCTCCTCACTTGTTTCACAGACAGGACCAGGTCCACGATTCCACCCGGTGCCACTGGAATGCCAAGAAGAGGAGGAACGGGAACATCATCCTGCTCGTGTATCATTATCTGAAATAACACAGGGCATCTGTCAAGTATTATTTCCACGGGGATACAATGGCAGGAATGTGAATTTCCTAGAATTTTTAATACTTTCTTTCACCACGGTTTTACGTATTCAGAACCGTTCCGTTTACATACCATAAAATTTCAGGGTTTAAAAGGTGACACACGCTACACTTACTGTGAAGCCAGCCTCAACGGTAATCGGCCAATACTCGTCTAGTTCCGCGTCAAGCAGTAAATCCAAACCCGCGTATTTAGATGCGAAATTAGTACTTAGTTTGGGGGAAGAACCTGCCAGAAAGTAACGCAAATATTAATTACAACTTTAAAATATGATGATATAAAAGAATATCAATAAATATATTTGGATATCAATAAATATATTTGGCTATCTGTCGAAAAATCTTACTTTTAAAATGCACATATATTCACTTTGTTATCGTGTATCTTGACTTACCTGCGTTGAACGTATAACACGTGCCAATAGGTGTTACGCGTTCTGTAAAGTTGGCCGGAGAGAGTGGTCGGGTGGACCACAAACAATCCTGAAACAGTGTTCTATCTTAAATATTGCTTACCAATTGTCTTATTTAGTTTTCTATATACAGACGCTGTTTGGCTTGGGGTTTGGATCTGTGGTTAAAAACGGGACTAAAATAATGGGCCGTAGATGTTTGAGTTGTGTAAATAGCTTACATAGTCACAGTCATTTCAACTTATGAACCAATGTTGACTATATGTTTCTGTTACTTGCGGGTTAAAAAAAAAACAAATTTGCTGAAGTTCTTTTAAGAATAGATATTGAAACGGCAGGTTGAGATTAATGACCCTTGCAGTTTCGTGATTAACCATAATCTCATTGCCATCATTCCAGTCATTATTACCTGTTTCTCAGAGGACGCGCCTTTGTTTCAACATCATCCTTGCCCAAAACGAATTATTTACAACCGGAAACCTTAAAGGAAGGGGTCTTCTTAACAGTTGAAAACAGGGACAATGAAATTGATATAACTACACACCGTTCAAAGTGACAGGAATGGTAGGCTTAAGAATGGAAGCCCGGGGCCCAATATGATTAGTAGAGTTTAGGGTTAGTTGGAGTATTGGGATTAGTATATAGTATATGGGACGAATGTTAAATGTACAAATTAATGGGGAAGGGACTACGGTTATTGGGTAACTTCAATCCCTGCCACACTGGAACTATAAATGAAGTTTGCCCTAAGGTAAATGAGTCATATTACCTGCCCAAATGAGAACATGTTCTTTGCTTTGTGACTATGTTTCTTGAAGAACTCCGTCCAGTTGTAGTCGGAGAAATTCACGTGTTCAATCCTCTGTAACCGGTCCTTCACCTGTCCTCCCAGAATATAGGTGTATGCGATGTCTCTGTCCACTGAAGTATTCAGACTAGAGTTGAGGAACACGTTGTTGTTACAGATGGTCACGGCGGGGAATTCCAAGGAGGATTTATACTCCACCTCCATGTTAACGGCAACGGGGTTGGTGCTGTAGTAAATGATGCGGTTCCACATATGGAAGATGAGAAACCCCGTTCCCGCCAAGACACAGCACAGCCATAGCAATCTCCTGAAGAGACTGGAGTTTGGGTCGACGGCGTTCTTTAATCCGAGGACGCTGGCAGACTGGGCAAACGCTATGATGGCGGCCTTAGCTGTGTCGGTCTCTTTCTTCGTGGTGTCCGCAATACGAATGTTGTCTTCTCTTAATTCACTTTTCGGGGAAGTTCTGTTGGTTTTTGGTAAAGAGCAGACAACTCCACCTCTGTTACCTTGACATTTTTCCTCTCTGTCAACCATCTTGTCACTAGAATATCTGGCTTTCTTTCCTTTTTGAGTTATGAGCAACTATGACAAGGTGAGCAAGGTATCCCACATCCTTCATACCAAATCGATGTAGCCTAAGGGCTCATTCCCAATGTAACTATCGTTCTACGTATATTGATCCAACTCCGTGAAGACTCCGGCTGAATGCAAACAGATACACAGATTAACACGCATCATCCTATTTTCAACGCACTCGTATAAACGCTACATTCTACTCAGGGGGGGGGGGGGGGGGCGTGTAAGTTGCTTAATCTGATTGTATTCAGTGAGTGTCCCCGAGAAGTTGGATCGGTCAACGTAGAAATAAGCCCTTAATAACTTACTGATTGACATAAACTTGTGACAAACGCTATGTTGAAACCACCACCATCGATTGCTGTGTATAGACGTGGTGCGTCTCCTTCTGCATATTTTTAGAAAGTTTTGCTGTTTGAATATTACTCTTTGTTTGCATTGTTTCATTTGAACAGGTAACTGTGATTTTCATTGTTGAATTCTTCCTGCTTGGTGAAAACAGGCTAAGGATAAAATCGATGACAGTATCTCTGGGAAAGATGCTCTTTCAAAGTTTGTCAAATGGCTCATTAATACCACCAATTTATTTATTCTGTTTAATATTGTTTGTGCTTTTCTTTAAGAAATGCTAAGGATATATTTGTGCTTTGATTCTGTAGTTGAAACATATCGCCGAAGCAACTGCTCCGTCCTTTACTATTTGTACCTTGTAATGTCGGGATGATAGATACATGAAATATTGCTATTGACATTTCCGAGGTCTCCATTAGCATTGAATTGAACTTTTGTAGAGCTGCACTACCTTTGGTGTCAGTTAGTTTGAGTGCTAAAGTCAATTTTATTCATATACAATGGCAACCAATCATCAGCGTGGTTTTGTTGGACAATGACAGTTGGGTATGATGAAAGCAATAATAATAGAAAGATGAGACAAAATATTGATTTTCAGCCATGTACAAAAACGTTAAACTTAAACTATTCAACCTGTCTCAGAGATGACTACATGTACTAGTATAGGTAAATGTACAAAGCAATCCTCCAACACAACCATATCTCAAGTTTGGAAAATGACAGAGGAGTGATAACAGAAAGATATGAGACAAAAGATTGACGGACGTTTTAGTGTAGATTTAAAAGGTCAATGTATTCGATATTTATCATAGATGGGTACAGGTGAACACGGGTGTATTTCTCCTGTCATATTGGAGAGACTGAAGTCTCTGTACTAAGTGCAATGGCATTTAAATATAGTCTCTGTACTAAGTGCAATGGCATTTAAATATATTACATGTGCAAAAAGCCATTTATCTTGTCAAGTCCGTTAACCGGGGCAGGGGGTGGGGGGACAAAAAAAAGTTCTCCTGGTCGGAAGTGGTAGGAAGTGGTAGGCTCTGCAGCAAAATGTATTTTTGTATCTGTGGCATTTTGGAACAACAAAAGGGATAAAAAGGACATTTTTTTCAGAAAAAGACCCACTTTTGCATCGCTTTCTGCGCCCCGAATGTGCATGCACATATTCCAAATTCAGAGAGGCCACTACGTGTACATAATGTCTTTACATAGCATGTATGAGGGCTGTGTGTTGGGATATTAGCATCATCGTATGGAAATGACCATGGTCGACTTACATTAAACTAAAAACTAGTGGGGTCTGAATTCTGTTGGAATAGGAAAGAGAAACTGAGGTACTAGTAGCTCCACCTTGAGGAGGGGGGCGGTAGTTTATATTTATTGCTGTCTCTTATTACTATATAGTGATCTCAATTTTTGGTATATTTTGTGAAAAATGCAGTCCCATTTTTTATTACTTGTCGACGTATTAAAATGCAGCAGGTTCATTTTATTGCCAGATTTTGGACATAAACCAGTCCGTCCAGTCTTTGGTCCACAGGGTGCTGCGACCTTGAGTAACCTCCAGCACAGCGCAATCTCTTCATCTCATCTAACACAATCTCGTATGTTGAGGCGCTAAAAGATGGTCAACTACACCGACTGTATTCACGCACCACCTAAAAATAAAACATATGCTAGACAAGCTGATGACGCCTGCTGTTTTCGTTAACTTTTATTCGAGACAGTTCTCCAGACAGTTCTACATATATTACACAAATGCCACAATAACGTGTCCAAACAGAATTGTTGTAATACAATACACTGTGTCTTTAGACAAATGCAGTCTTTTTGTTGACGATCATTAACACCAGTTCATCTGCTTAGACTGGGTTTCCACTGATAATGCCATGTTGAAATGACGTGCGCAGCACGTGTTCTAGATCTCAAGTCGTTCGTTATGGCTTCTATTCTCATACTGTATACACCTTATCCTTGACTAAACACGATTTTATCCCTAACAATTAATTACTTCATGCATTTAAAGAAACGAAATTATTTTCGTCACACAACTATTAAAATATTGGGTTTCCACTCCAATATTTTGGTGCCTATTATGTCATCTTCATCCTGGACTGAGGCTAGTGTTATAGTAGTCTCTATATACTAGTATAACTGAACGGTGCAGCCAGCCCCCACCTCCCTCAATCCTACCTCCACGGAAACACCAATATAAATATTAAATTAAAGGTACATTGCGTGCTAATTAACTGAGGTATAAGGCGAATCCACATTTAACTGCAGTCGTGACGTAATGTGCCGCGACAGAACTGCAGCCTCATATCCGTGCAGTCGTACATATCTAAAAGTTCAGACCAGTTGTCAGGGTCAAATCCCTTCGTAAAAATAGACCCGTGTTGCGACTCACACATTTATCAATATATAATCCGTGATAATTGTTGACTGAAGAAAAAATTAGAGATCTGTACGCTCTTGTAGGATAAACCACCCATACATATCGACATGAAAAGTTTATCAAGTACGGTAGCACAACACCAATTATTCTATTTCACGTATTGTCATCAACATATAACACTTCATTAGTAGATTTTGGTTGCAACGTCACGTGAAGCCCGTCCAGGTGTCATGAGAATTCACGTGTAGACCATTTAGCAGTCATGAAAAGTCACGTGTTTTTCCATTGTCATGAAAGGTCACGAATGCCTACCAACCATGAAAAGACAGGTGCACGTGCCCTCTTCTGGCGACAAGAAAAGTCACAAAACTTAACGTTTGTCAATGCAATCATCACATGTCCCTTTAGTGTTAACATTTTTGTTCGTCACTTAAAGATCAGCAGTCACAATTTGGTCGACAGTAAGTTACCATTCTCGCCACCGTCTTCATTGGGGTCAGCCTTTTTTAATGCCTCACAGCAATCAGCGTCGCTGCTGGCCTCGTGCCTGGACTCGGCGGGGTTCGGCGACCAATCCAACTTGAGGTTCTTCTTATCATCGGGCGTGCTCGGAGCCTCGGTCTCGCGGACGATCTCTACCCCGTTTAGAAAGTCATAACGCTTGTGTAAATACTCATTTCTGAACAAGAAGTCTGTGACGTAAGATACCAATATTATACCGAGGAAACTGATCAACATACAGGCTGTTCTGTGAGGGAAATACTGGGTGTGTGACTCCGGGTCGTACCAGGGCCATTTTATCACGGGGGAGAGCGATAGCGCGGGCTCTCCCGCTAGGGGGCGTATGACAGAGGCCAAGACGAGCCCCGTTATCGAGCCGTAGACGTTTGCCGCGGGCAGGAAGAGTGCTGACGTCAGCTGAGGGAACATGATGACGTAGATGAGGTCGGAGCTGAGGATGGTCAGTGCGAAGATGCTCTTAATGAAGATGGCTAGTACGGTGGTGACCACGGCAAAAGCCACCATGAAGAGGCGAACTGACCAGATTAATTCACGTTCACCAGCCTGAAAACAAACATAGGGCTAAAGCTTATATATACAGTTATTGTTCCTAACACATTCTACTAATATAATCATAACAACATAATTTTTAGAGTCTCCACAGAAATATGTTTATTTATTTATTTATTTATTTATTTATTTATTGATATTTTTAGGGTAAACGCCTGGTATGTTTAAAATGTATATTCCCCGTGGCGCTAAGTTCTGTAGCTTTTACAAATAAAAAACAATACAAATACAAATAAAACACAAAGTAAAAAGAATTAATTTAGATGAAAAAGTAATGGCATTAAAAGAAAAGCGAAAAAATGAAAAATTTCTGGTTTCAGACATCATGCAAGCTTTCTGAAGACCAGGGCCAAACATCCCAAGCTTTAAGTATTGAAGTGCTTGAAGTCTAATTCAATGTATCGGATGAAGTCATTTAAGTCTCGCCTGGATACAAAATGTTTAATGAAGTATATGATTTCCGCTTTGTTTCTTATTTTAACGAAATCGTTTGCTCTTTAAGTGAGGACTGTGTGGTGATAAACATTTGGCGTGCGTTTTCGTGTGTTTGTCTGACCCAAGCGTCGAGCCGGTTGTTAAGGACTCCTAGCAAGGCCTTGACCTGTTAGAACAGCATTTGTATATCAGATATTCTTCCCAAGCTGGTATTTAGCGTTTTCCACGTCCGCCCTGATATTAAAAAAAATGAATGAGCGATATGGGACCCCGCGGTTCCATCTGCTCTTAGGCACTAAACTGGGCGGAAAAACAATTATGGTAACTGTAACTCTAATAAAGTATTTTTTGGAAGTGTACAGGAAATAGAGCGAGTAAGACTATATACTATCACAGACATTGGCAATTTCCTCTGCTACGTGTGAAACTACACAAGTGATTTTTGAAGGATTTACTCGGTCGTTTTTACCCGTGTCTGAGCGTTTGTTGAATTTAAAGTAGACAGTGTATCTTCAGAATTAAAATGAAGAACGGAACAATTGCTAAAAGCTCAACTCAAATTAACTCCTAGCTTTTTCCTCGGCCAGTTCAATAAGCGCATCGTCTGCAGAACCCAAGCGAACCGAGTTAGTCTAGCTAAGTCCACTTTCTAGAATAAAAGCCACCACTGCTTCCTAGATCCCTTTCTCTTTTATATGTCTGCTGCCTTTTCCTTGAAAATAATCCAAATTTGGTGATAATCTGTCCCCAAAAATTCTCAAATTACTTAAGAGCCCGAGAAAACCAGTGCCGCAGACGACAGAACGTAGGAGTGAGATAGCGTCCTGAGGTGGTGGACATCACACAGTCACACCCGGCACGTGTGGTGATACCACTTTAGTATATTTCCCTTGAGGATTGATTTTCTCTGGAACTACACTTCGTCCTCTACTCAAAGTATTGAACAAATTAGCGAAATCAGCGAGTGGCCAAGAGATCGGAAAATGGTTCCAATATTTTGCTGTAATGTACATTTAGCTTTGCGATTGCGCCCTTATAAATACGGGCCTTATGGTTATATTACTTGAGCACAACATTTTGTTTGAAGGGTTGTCCTAGACTGAAGGAAGAAAAACGTTTTAATCCTACCACCTTAATGGAAAGACGGACTCTTCCTTTGTCCAACAGATGTGTTGATCTAAAATGCTTTTGTGTATATCAAACAAATTCCATCCACCAACTGCAATTACGAAGCAATATATACTTTACTTAACAACACCGTGTCTTTGTTACCAAGAAATACCCCTGATAATGAAACTGCAGCTTACATAAAGGGCAATGAACCGAAGCCAGATTTGTTTCTGTCCCGTAGCAACTTGTATTATGGACGTCTTCGCAAAACAAGATGGTACCATTAACAGCTTGGCCCAAACTTTACACAGCAGTGGCAACGTGTGAATGTTGCTGGTTTACACAAGGTGAAAGATTCAGGGGTGGGTTTAGGCCGTCTTCAGGGTCTTCCGGAAGACGGACAGATTTTCAAGTTTACATTGACAGGTATCTAATATTTTCTGTCGGAAGACAGTCAAAATGGAGGATGGATCAAGAAACATAATTTGGAACACTGTCAGAAAATATCTCTGGATCCGCCCCTGAGATTCCATAAATTTTATTCACCAATTCATTCATTCATCTACATGTATGATTTAATATCAAAAACTTAGGCAGGATTTACGCGTGTTCCCTACGTAGCGCCTTATAGAGGCTGTTTTATTGAGAATGGGATGGTGACCATGGCGGTATTGTGTATAAATTGTATTGGAATGTTCAGATTGAGTTGTGTCGACTTAGCTAAAGCGGACTAACTGCACGGGGACTCTCGCTGAATGCAATCAGATCAACCGTCTTACACGCGACCTGTTTAAAATCTACTCGTATAATCACTAGCTTCTCTGTCTTACCCAAGGTGTGTTAATCTATTCATCTGATTACAGTCAGCAAGAGTCCCCGTGGGGCTTGTGCCATTAGGTTGGTCGACATTACTCATTCAGAATGGTGCTGACGACTAGTCGAAGGCTGAACTTACCCTGGTCTTGTGTGTGTCCCTCAGCGGTTTGTAGACGTTGTTAGTAAACATGGAGCTGGACGACAGCATGATGGAGTCCGCAGACGACATCACGGCAGCCGACACCGCCGCCAGCCCCACCACAGCAACTGGCGGAGAAATGAGAGGGAAATTATATAGAAATAATAATAATAATAATAATAAAGGTGATGATAATGACCTTTACCTGATCGAAACAGCAAACGGATGCTTTAGACAATAATAATAATAATAATAATTATTATAATAATTATTATTATTATAGTAATAATAATAATTGCATTCCATAACATTTCAATGGTCTTTACAAATAATATTGTGATTTGTGTGAAACTGACCCACATTAATTACAAAAAACACAACATAATGGCTGACATTTTAAACAGCCATAAAAATACGAATTTTAAACAGAAACAGCATATGGTATACACCGGCCCAACCATAACACGACCTGGTCTAACCCTCATCTAACTTATCACCCAGACACATTAACATAAAGAAACAAAATTATCCTACAACTCCACGCCAGGGAATCAAAGGGGTGTCATTCCAAGGACTTACGGTCCTCAATTTGGAATCGCCTGTAATGTGACTTTACGGCCAATATATATGTAAACAACTGGACACTAAAACTTACTTGAGTAAAGAGAGAGGCCTGCTTTTTAAAAATTCATAGTGGCGGTCGCTATATTATCTAAAGGACTGTTCAGAACCTAATTGAACGGTGGATTAACTTCACTGCACGCGGAGATTTAATTGGTTTAAAGGGGGGGGGGGGGGGCACGCCCGGTAGGCAAGGAATTCATTATCAAGCACACGCCCTGTTTGATCCATGGATCAGTTAGTCCACGGATGAGCTGAGTTCTAAACTAGTCCTTATAGTAAACTTATATGAATTTTATGTACCTAAAGGCAAGGGCAATATACAGGAGGAACTTACGAACGCGTTTTCTCGTCCATCAGTCTAAATGCCCGTCTGTCACGTGACTGACTGACATAATTTTGAAACGTATTATGTGGCTTTATTGAATCAGTATGGCTGAAAGTATGTATTGTTTCAGAGTATAAATGTCAATAAAAACGGGTAAGGCAAAAAACTACAATTTCAGTTGCCAAATGAGATGGTCTCAATGCAATTACTCCTCTTAAATCCCACCTTTCTAGAAGACAATTCTTTAAAAATAGAAATCACTGCAGGCAATTAGCCGTAATGCGCCCACACAGCGCTGAGGCAAGCAGAGATTTAAACAGAGAACAAAAAATTGAAGATCCCTCTGTTCTGGCAGCGACTGCCTTTTATTTTTTCTGAGCGTGTCAGAACTGACGGAGGTCTAGATGGACTGATGGCATCGTCAATAGTAATGATGTCATAGTTAAAAAGCCACTGTGGTGATTAGTATTGACAGCTGGCACGTTTGACCACATCAGTGCTACCGCACACCTCCTCCCACACTTGAAGAGGTACAATATCAGTGTTGTTGTTACTGATAATACATGAGTCTGCTTTTGTGTCTCTGAAAGTTTTCCTTTCAACCACTGTGGTGGGGTTTAGCAATGTGAATATAAAATTGAAGTGATTGAAGCATCTTTTAATTGATCAGCTTTATATAAAAATATAATGCCCAACTTTTTTATTTTTATACTGATCCTATTATTAAAAGCAGTCATATTTTACTCATATGCTTTCCCATTGAGGGGGCGTATGGGATGCTGCTTTTAGTTATGAACAAAGATAGGTTTGAAAGCAACAGCGATGACTGCAATGTAAATAGCCCGACAAAAGTCCTTCAACTGACAGCTCTGGAGCTGATTATATACTCCAGTATTTCATTGTTTTGTAAACTCTCTTTACATTTTCTGGAGAGGTCCAGACATTGGAGTGCAAGCGTCACCGCGTTGGCCTGCTGTAATAAGTCAATTATCACCATAACTTAAGCAAAAAACATTCTGACAGAAACATTAAGTCCTGTACGCAATTTTGCTTTGTTGACGAAATGCTACAGCATATTTTTATACGTACTGATATCATCTAAATAGCACCTTAATACAAAACTTTATTGTGATGGAAGCTTCTCTCCTTTGGCTACAAGAAAAGGAACATTACCTGCAAATGGCGTCAAATGTTGTAACACCAGAGGGGCAATCAACTTCAAGTCTTCGTGAGGAAACGGGAGCTCTCCGTCGTAGGAAGTAGCATTCCAGTCTAATATGAAAAGAGACAAATCAAAATGCATTGCAGCTTCTGTTAAGTTTTCCGTCATTTCAAGGCGGCTCGTCATATATAAATCACACCATGTTGTAATACTGCTTCCTTGATTAATGGATTGGTGCATTAGTCTCGTCATAAAGATACATCGAAGAAAATTTGATAGTAAAATATTTTCGTGAATAAAGTCTTTTTATTCCTAGGTATTATAATCGGGTGAAACTGTACACCAATACTTAACGTCTTAACCACAGGCACGGTTACATTTATGACTGTGCACCAACATTTAACCATAGACGCCATTACCTTTATGACCATATAGGCTACCGATATTCAATAATACACTAAAAAGGAACAGAAATTGTAGGGTCAACATGTTTGTAATTTACAAGCCACAATCAACCAAATAACACCAATTTTTTTTTCTGAAATTTTCATAGAACTGAACCTTTTTAGCGTTCTACTTACCGGCAGAGACAGCGGCCATTCCTATCAATAACGGAGGAATGGTCGCCAAGAGACCCCCCAGGGAGCCAGCAAACGTCACCATCTGGGCCATCCTGGCCGTCTTAACGGCTAAGATACGTTGCCATATAAACTGGAGGAGAAAATGGAGAAATGGGTGCGTTTTAATACGAAATAAGGGGATCCAACATCCAGCAAACACGTCACGTTGATACCACGTGGTTAATCCGTCACTATGACGTTATAATGTGGTAGCAACGTGCTAGCCACGTGATCCGAACGTGACGTGTTTGCTGGGATAATATTAAAAGGGAAAACCTTGTCTGGTTTCTACAGGATAAACATGTAGCTTGATGGTGTAAATATCCCCCCATACCTCGACTCATCCAACACCACCAGCTACCCAGCAAACACAAAACGTTAAAATATCGTTAACGTAACGTTTATTTTAAAAAATATGGTTCGCAATTAAAACGCTATAAAACGTTACGTACTTGCTGGGAAAATCCAGTGAATGGCAATTAACTGACATTTTCGAAAGTAAACTCAGACTATTTTCGCTGAGCACCCTGAGGTTCCTACCTGCCAGGGGATTCCTCCCAGCATCAGCTGTAGCAGGACGTCCACATAGGTCCCCAGGGTGCGGGGGTCCAGGGTACCCACCCAGCGGTCGGCAGTCTCTGGGAGAGGGGTCACGTAAGGACTGGTACAGATGAATGGAATGGCGACCCACTGTGGTGATATAATATAGTTGTTTTAATTGTAAACAAATAATGCCATTATAAATTTACTCTCTGATTTAATGTCTTAACTATGGTTTTACATCTTTTAAAAATAAATTTCATATTTGAAGTTGTTTTAAGTGTAAAACTATTAATGTAATTTGAAGTGCACCCTTTAATTTAATGTCTTCGCTATGGATTTACAGCTTGTTTTTAATAAAATATTTTAGCATTTTATCATTGTAAGGTCTACTGAACTTTTTTAAAAGGATTTTAGACTAAAAATAAATATAATTAATACTATTATATATTAGACAGGATTATTGAGATTCATTACATATTTGTTTGAAATGACCAATAGATTTTCTTTTGTCAACAACTATAGAATATTACCAGCCAATATTTCGTCCGCTGACAGTCGTACTTCATCAAGGAAATGAGGGTTGTGATAGTCAGGGTTAGAATTCAGTAGAGGGAGAGTGTGGGATCTGATTATGTCTAAACCATGAGTGAGAATATCGTTCTTGTAAATCTAAAGTTGTGTTGATCACATGGATAGGGTTTATGATTCACAAGAAGGTGGTTCTATTTCTTAATGAACTTATAGATTACTCAATATTTCGTCAAACATTTATGTTCTTCGGTTCATATCATTTAAAAATATTTTTTTCAATTTAATTACCACTTTTTAGCTTTCGACTTTAGAGTAAGTGCCGGGCACTAGGACCAGATAAAATTTATAGCTGGTTTACACACGGCTCCCCGTCAACTGTGTCGGTAGACAGCGTTTATGTTTGTTTATGTTAAACCCACAGTGTGAGCAATGTTTTAGGACACAAGATAAAATTCAAAAGCAATAGAGTTTTTCCTGGGGTTAATTGATATTTTTCCTCCCTACCAATCTAATGCCAAAGCAGCTCTTTTGCATTAAAAATAGAAACTAAAACTGATTGCCTTAAAATTAGGGTCGGTCATGCCTGTGACCCTACGCACCAATTTTCCCTGGCTTTATCACAACTTGTAACATGCTCCGTCTAGTTGAGGTGCTATTTCACGTGTTCTGTGGTAATAAACTTCTGTTTTAATTTATTTGTCTAACTAAGCTATTTAATAACCCGAGACACCCACATACCAATTGTGACCCTGTTCTGTACTCGAGACGAGGTGCATTCTTAACAAAGTGGTAGTGGTCGTCATCTATATGAGGTGAAGCTGCGTTTTTTTTTTAGTGCGTGCACACTTTCTACCAATAACAATAAGCGTGTGACTAGAAATTAAATAATTTCAAACTGGGGTGAAGGTGGTGGAGCTTTTCTGAAAGAATTTGACCCCCTTAACTTGATCAATGACATGACATAGAACTTAGATCACGGTTTGGTGCAGAGCAGACCTTTTCTGAAAAAAGGGACGGTTCATTCAATTTCAACCTGCCACACATGTTTTTTTTTCTTTTTGAGAAATTGTGTAGCATCTACATACAAATGTGTTCCATGCACGTTATCCTCAAGATAAGGACGACTTTCCCTCTTGTGGTTCGACAGTGAGAGCTTACTCCATTTCTACTCAATATAAAGCTGTGATCCCCCCTATTTTTATTATGTGAGAGAAATAAATGGAATTTTATTTTAAAAATCACCCTACAAGATAACAAAATATTTTATACGCTACAGCTGTGAGATCTATCAGTCCACGTATATATGACCCTATATTACTATATCCAAAAAAGGAAAGTGCATTTTATTACAATTTTTAACAAACAAATAAGACTGATACAATAATTCTGTCACACTATCAACTATATATTCATTGTAAGACCTTTGTATATCGACGATATAGCTGTACAGCAGTTGGACCTTAAGTTCATATTCGATATTAATCGAACATCTACCTCGCAGAGAAAGGAATTTAATAAAATGATAAGTTTTGATACATACCAACCCCAGGAAGATAAAAACCATCTGCATGACGTCGGTATAGGAGACGGAGTAGAGACCGCCGAAGAAGGTGTAGACTAAAACAACCAGGGCTGAGACCAGGATGGAGATCCAGTCCTCTAGACCTACCACAACTGTCAGTGTGGTGCCTGGAGCGAATGGGGTGGATTAACAATTAAATAAATAGCAGTCCCGTAGCCAGCAATTGCAAAAGGGTGGTTCTTTTTCTGAAAATGTGGACCTTTTGTCTTGAAACCTTAGTTTGCCTAGATCAAATTTACCCAGAGTAGACCTTTCCTAGGAAAAAGGGGTTCTTTGTTGGTATAGAAAGAGTTGTTTTGTTGTGTGGGTGGTGGGAGGTGAGGGTCCTTTTAAATTTCCAAATTTTCTAATAGAACTAAGTAATATGTACGATTATCATAATAACGTGTGAGAAAAAATTTTATTGTGATAATCATACATATTACTTAGTTCTATTAGACAATAAAAGTTTTCTCGCACATTATTATGAAAAATGGTCAATATTAATGACATTTCTCTTGGCATTAAAAGGTACTTAGGAACACAGTACTTTACATGTATTCAAGACCGTTCGGGAACAACTACACAACAAGAATCCGTTCAAAGATCAAAATGGACACTTACCCAGTGATGAAAGCGTCGCAGCGCACCAGAACAAATCCCCCGACATGGCCGGAAAGAACAATATGGCCGCCATGACTTTTCCAAACTTCCTCCCCAGTGGATCCAACATGGTGACGTAACCCTTCCCTCGCATCTTCTTCACGTAAAACGCCCCAGCTGCTCCAGGAAGAAATGTTTATTAAAGTGTTTCTATGCGTTTAAATGACCTAAGATGGTTAATTATTTTTTACCCGTTTTTTTATGTTAAATACTTATCTACATGTAGATATTGATGAAATAGAATTAAATATTTTGCAGCAAAAATCCCCTTTTTGTATCTTTTATTTACCAACCACTTCTGCTTTTAAGCTCCTCTCCCCCGTTTATCGACAATTAACTGGTTAATAAAATAAACGTCAGACAGTGATCGGTTTGCATCGTAACTCCGGAACTAAGTGAGCCATTATTATGAAAGTAGGCATGGTTGACAACAAAGGAGAGACTACAATATGGTGCTATCGATTGCATTTGATTCTTTGTTTATGAGATATAAGCCCCTAATTAAAAGTTTATGTTTATGAGATATGGGTCCCATCAAAAAGGACAATATTTCGCCGCTTTACTGATAAAATCGAAAGAAATCCTTCCAAGAAAATTCCCTGGAACCAGATTGTAATACTGATTGTTGTAATGAAATAGGTGTTATTATGGTGTTGATAGCTCTCAGGCCAGGGATATTTGTTTAAAATCGAAAACATAATTTTCGCAAAAAACGTTGCTGTTACCTCATAAGTTCAAAAGAACCATTTCGCCCCGATGTATTTTTTGATGTGAATGTATTATCACAAAGCGCGTGAAACCTTCTCCCTGCATTATTCAAGCGGATAAGGAATTAGGATCGAAACACCTTATCCTACTGTGACTGAACACAGGACTCTACAAGTCACGTCAGGATCACGTGACTACCGTATTACCACCATATTTGAACGCAAGGCAAGGTGACAGTCACGTGGTCCAAGCATGGCGTGTTTACTGGGAGTACAGAAATTCTCTTCAGGTTTACAGGGCTGGTTCGTTTTTATCTTAAATTCACGCTGATGTGGCAAATACATGTACTAGAGCAGCATTTAGTCTTTCCTCCCTTAACACGAACTTGTTACGCTTCATTACCGACAGTCGTATATCCTCTAACAGAAAGAAGTTTTCTGAATAGAAGGCAATTATGTTCTCCCACATTTCACCGCCTAACTGTACGAACATGAAAGAACAGCTGAGTGAACGGAATGTGCATCGATTTGTACATTCCCAAATAAACATCTAGAAACATTTTAAACGCCATTTACACTAATTGAAATGGCACTATAGAACTGATTTTTAGTTATGCAACAAAGCATACTTACATGTAACTTCTAGTATGTTATGCGTGAATGGTTATTAGTATGTATGAAAGAGCGTGCATGCGCACCTGCGTGTTAGTGTGTGTGCATCGTTTGACGAGTGTCCTCTCAGTATTTTAGCGCGTCTTGAACAAAGCCGTTCTTTATTTTTCACTTGAAATGAGGCAGCTGATAAAGTTTTGCGATGCTTTATAATGCGGTTCGCTTCACAATGTAAAGTAATGGCTTATTTATGATCAGTGATTGTTTGCGTAATGTGTAGGCTAATATTTCTGCATGCTATGCCACCACGTTAATGTCATATTCAGTTCATTTGAATTGTCTTCTAAGGCCACATTCACCACAGAGTTGATTGGTGGACTAACAGATCTGCAGATCAAATATGGCCGACCCAATTGAAAGCTGGCCGCGTAATCCCCGCGGAGATTCTGTTCAGTGTCTATTGGCGGATTATGCAGCAAGCTTTCAAGTGGCTCAGTCATATTTGATCCGCGGATCTGTTAGTCTGCGGATCAACTCTGTTGTGAATGGTCTGTAAAGCTAGATACGAGTACGTTACCTAGAACGATAGAAGCCAGATATCCTAGTGGCATCTGTAGAGCAGCATACCCGGATGTATAGACCCCCTCCGCCACGCCGCTGATTAGGGAGCCGTCCACCCAGGTGGCTGGAAAGATATATATTATATTATATTATATTATATTATATTATATTATATTATATTATATTATATTATATTATATTATATTATAGCACATTTACATCATAGCGGAAGAAATTAATCCAGGTCCAATCCAAATTAATAAATATGTAATGCACTTAACACCGTAACATATTATTATTATTATTTTTATTTATTTATTTATTTATTTATTTTTTTTATATTGCATTTGCTGATTTTGTTTTTAAAATGTACTTGTGTCGGAATTGATACATGGATGAAATAGATGAGTAATTAGAACCATTTCGTGTGATAGCACCTGCATACATTTACGGCACTCTGGACAATAACAACTGCCTGTGGATATTACACTCTCAAAACAGTAATCTTAGCAAAATTCCATTTTTTTTCACACACAATCACACAGAAGGAGAACGGAATGTTAAATATCCTACGTCCAAGTCGTGTAACATGACTTAGTATATTACCGTTCTGCCGTTTCACCAACAGCAAAAAAAAATACTGTTTTTTTTTTTTTAAACCTATACTCTTCCAATAGTGGTGTCAAAAAATAAGTGACAGGATATTTGTGTTATGGGAAAGAATATCTGTGTTATGGGATATTCCAAGAAAGCGAATTAAGATTTTGTTGTCTGTGATTTTCCTTTAAAGAACTATACGGTTTCACATATCTATTCAAAGCTCCGTCCAGTAACGTGTAATCTGGATCCAAATTAAATAGTTTGCCCAACATTACCGCTTCATCTCGCTTCACTTCGACAAATACCGGGGTAATTGGTAATTACTCAAGAGAGATATTCTGGTACCATTTTATAATCATTTCACAACAATAGAATTATAATCAATTAATCTCTTTTAATCTCTAAACACGACAAGTGTAACAATCTTGGACGTGAGTAGCTTATGGAGAAATATTTGTCAATTATTGACATGAAGTGAATACTTATCTGCTCTGTGAAAGGATACGTTATACGTCACGGTCTCTGGTTTCACTCCACAGTATCAATTGTCACGGCCGGACAACAGAAATCATTGGTAACAATTACATAACGGCCAATTGTATCGGCTTTACGTGAAAATCGCGTGGGGAGAGAAACAGCTGGGGACGCATTAAGGAACTGAATACTACGTGAAATATTGAAATTAGTCTCATAACAACGCTTTGAGGGTGTCATATGTCACCGGGTAACAATTGTCAGCCAGCAGTTAGAGGAACTGGGGAGAACCATGAAGCAAGACAAGGATTTAGCGCGGGGTACCAGTTGCCTCTGATTCCACCAGGGTCCCTTGTTAATTATACAGCATTTAAGACAATATTTAAGACAGCATTTAAGAGGAGTATATGGATAAATGGCAACCCATGTGGTCAGAGGGCTGGATTTTACGTCTGGTGTCTGGGGGGTTGGAACGGCTCGAAATTACCGCCCTTATGGCAGGAAAAGGCCCGCTGGTCTTCTGTGCCATTTCTCACGCTGGGTAAATTCGGTGCAGGGAAAGGGGGGGTTGTCAGAAGTAGACCAGACTTTTTGAAATGGCTGAAAACAACTGCCACCTCCATTACATTACTGAACCGAGCCACACACTCGTTGTCTGTACTTACATTTAAACCGCAAATGGTATTTTTGGATGACACTTTACCTAATTAGGATGCAGTGCACACTATAGTTGGTCCTTCATTATGCAAAAAGAACTGAAAGCGGTGTTAAATTTTCTATCAAACCCGAATTCTAATCAATTAAATTCAGGAAAAATTAGCAGTAACACATTAAACTAGTAACTGAACTAAGACGGGGGACCATTTCTATGGAGCCATAGCGGTCGGATAAAAATGACATTTCACGTAAATGGAACACCACCAAGTCCGGGCCTATCCAACTACCAGAAGCGACACGGAAGAATCCGGAATTCACCATAGATCGGACTACGCTACCGGTTTGCAAGGGTGTATCAGTACGCGCTTCGAAGAATCAGACGCCACACCCTCGCATCATCGCCATCATATCGCGTACCAGGCTAGAAACATAATCCACTCCGTCACACAGTTGTCAGTGCTGTTTTCTTTCATTTAGCCTAAATTTCTACTTTACGTTGATTTAAGAAAAAAAAACTGTACGTTATCTAAAACTTGATGCCGCCTATTTTGATATTCACAAAATAAGGGAAAGGGGGAAAAGTATGATAAATGATAAGGAAACTGGACCCTGGTTAAAAATTACTGGTACTTACACCAACACTGACCAGCATGGTAACACGTATCTGTTAGCTGTTAGAGCACACGTGTAATGTAACTTTGCAGGTGTGACAGGAATGGTAGTCCACAAGGAACCGTGGTCCGTTCCCTTTTACTTTGAACAGGTGAAATTTGTCCCTACTAACCCGAACACTCCGAATAACCCTAACCTATACTAATCATTTGGGACCCCGGATTTCAATTCCAAGGACTATCACTGTCACACTGGCCACATACGTCTTCCACTTACCTGTCATGGTAAATATTCCTAGGTAAACACCAATATTTCTCCCGGCCAAAATAACATCCTCGCTTGTCATATCCGCGCTGTGGCGCTGTTTGTTTTTCCAGTAAGCATAGATTCCCAAGGCGAAGATCAAGATATAAAATACTATGATGGCAACGAGCCCCCATACGTTCACCGCCATGGTCGCTCGATGTATAAATGTTTGTCTCTAAGTCACTGTGGCCTGTCACGTCTTTGTTGACAAAGCGTGTCCTTTCAGTCCTTAAGTTATTAGGCGGCTCGGTGAATTGCAGTTGACGTTAAGCCTCCTCTCTGGTTAACTCGCCGAGCTCCCCGGCGTCTCTCTGAAAATATTTTTCTGTGTCTCACTGCTGCCGTTCTTATTGAATACCAAGAAGACTGAGTTATAGGAAGTTATTTCACTGGTTTGTTTATATATAATTCCCAGCTCGTTTCTGTTGCCTTCTCTTGAATCTTTGCCAACTAGCGTGTAGCATTCCAGCTTTGCTTTTTTTCTGTTTCCATTTCACTAATTGCACATGCCCTCAGTTCGCCGGAGATCGAGTGCAATGGCGTCTGGAAGGGGGAGGATGCGGAGGGAGGGGGGGAGAATACGCCGTATCTTCTCCTTCGTAGAAACAATAGTTTGGAACCAGCTTGGTATGTTTTATCACTCACTCTGTACCTAGCGGCTAAGTCTATTCGGCCATATATTTATGTGCTCTGCTCTCAGTTTAACTGAAAATGTCGCTATTTTTCCGACCGCGTCGAGCTTTAAATCTCTCCACCGCTCTCCAGAGGTTATCTCACGGTCTGGTTTCCACACCTTTTTCAGCTGTAACCGTGCAGGCTCGGGTCATCGTGGGACTCGAGGGTAAACGAACGTGGAGATTAACACTTGTATCGAGCCTCTGATATCTCTTCGACAAACTTTAAAACTGCGTCTCCTTTTATCTTCGCCGTGATTAGAGACGCCGCGCGAGGCATTGACCCAACTGTCGCTGATTGAATGTCGTGGTCGGCAATGTAGCTGGGGGAGAGGAATTGTTCCGAGGTCAGATTATGTTTTAAGAAACCGTCACCATACGTATCTCGCAGGTAAAGGTACATAGGTTTTTCGGCAGTCACTGGTTTGTGTTTAGAAAAACTTTGCGTTTCCATTTCACATGCTGCACATTGACTAGTCTCCTTAAAAGCATTGCTTTCTTCCTTTTCGTTTTCCACGCTGTTTACACCTGGGCTAAGGCGGAAAAAGTGTTAATCTCTGTCACGGATTCACGTTTGTTTGAACGTATCGGTAATTATCACGCAGTGGTGTTCCCTGTCCACGTCGCGCGTGTAGAACACATGTGCGTGCGCGTCAATGAAATCGTCAAAAATCACCTTGAAAAATTCACACTCTCTCTCTCTGTTGACTTGTGAATTGGTTACGTGCAGAATGCAGTGCCGGCCATACTGCTACAATAACTGGTACACACAATAACAAGCTTAAATCTGCAGGAATTTAACAACAAAGTCATGTTCACAGCGTGCAGTGGTTAAACTCCAACCCTGTCCAATAAAAAAACGACCCATGCACGAGGGCTTAAGATTTTATGCGATTTTTGTTAAGTAACAGTAAGTCACAGTACGTGTCCACCTCATAGACGCCGGCCAATCGATAGTGCGCGTGCCGATGACGTAGTGATCACCGTCGTGTATTCGACATTACAGTCACAAAAAACATACATACAAACAAAAAAGTAATAACAAAAAAAAAATATATATATATATATATTAATAGAAAAAAAAGAAAGAAAGATAAACCGCCCATTCATCATATGGTAGAAATATATATATATTGATTTTGTGTGAATAAAGAGAATTATATTTTTTACCTTGAAAAAAAAAAAAAAAAAAAAAACGTACAGAAGGCTTGTTCCCCCTGATAGAGAGTACGCTTCCCATTCATTTGTACAGGTAACCCCCGCCCTAGGTTTTGACCCACTTAGGCCAGGCTAACCCTAACCATTATAACTACTGTATATGGAGGGCGGACTTTCTGCTATACGGACCCTCAGTTTCTCTACACCGGCCGTGGACACATCTCACACAGTTAAACGCTCCCGTGCTTTTCATCACGTTCAAACCAGTAATAATGTCTTACACTCACTCCTCTCTCTTCCATCTCTCGCTCTCTCTCTCTCTCTCTTCCATCTCTCTCTCTCTCTCTCTCTCTCTCTTCCATCTCTCTTGCTCTCTCTCTCTCTCTCTCTCTCTCTTAATTGACCACCAAAACATTTGTAGCTCTCCCTCCGTGAAAAAGGAATGCTAATATCCTCACCTCACGGAGAGTGTTTGAAAAACTCCGCTGCGAGGGGCAATTGAAAGGATCAGTTAACGTCAGGTTCGTTTGTCTGGACGCCCGTGACATGCGTAACACAGTAGAAAAACTGCACACTGGGCACGTTCACATGACACAGATCTGGAACGAGTATAGTTCGATGTAATTTTTGCTGGTATGTTAAAACTTTAAATACGTATTTCATGATATAAAACAAGCATGTATAATAATTACTTCAGAATAATGATTAAAACCATCTACCCTGTGTGGTTTTTATCTTGATGCATGATTCTATCTCCTGGGCCTAGTTTCATCAACACTGGATAGCGCTGTCCCACGGATAACACTATCCATGGGATGGAATTGTTATGCTCTGGACAGTTATCCTGATAATATCAGCCATTTTAACCACTGGACAGCGGCATATGAAACAAAAAATATTTGTCAAGCATTAAGGAAACATTACTTTAACCACAGGTTAACTGTCCAGTTTATCCAATGGATAGTGTTGCCCATGGGATAGCGCTATATCCAGTGTTGATGAAACTGGGCCCAACTGGTTCCTATCTTCTTAGTTTTGTCTCCATACTATTTAAATTAGAATCATTATTCTTCCCATTTTAAGTCATCTTTAAAAACAGAACAAGTAACGACTCAACTATATATGACTTGAAACTAGGAAAACACCCAGAGACCGCAGAGCTCCGGCAATGTAAGTCGATTATCATTAATCAATTATCACTTAAATCGTGTATGTCGTTAAGATATGTGTGAGATATGAAGCTGTGAAATAAGTGATTGGATTTATCTGAACTGTAATATAAGTCATCTTCTGTAGTTCAACACTATCAAAAATTGAGCAATGTTTAAACCCTCTTTCTGATTAAAGAATAATAATAATAATAATAATAATAATAATAATAATAATAATAATAATAATAATTCACTGTCACCAGAGCGATATATAACAGAGCAAGAGGGCAGTGCGTTATTTGACATGCATGTACATAACGAGAAAAGCACTAGCACAAAAAACACAACTAAAAACGAATAAAGCACATATAGCCAAAATTGACGCCGGCTGCATTGTTGATTGTGATAGTTGTCCTACTTGCTGTGGCACTAAGAAATCTATCTTGATAACATGGGATGTATCTTCATAATATGGGATGCTTTATACTATAATATATGTTATATGTTGTATACTACATGTTATAATTGAGTTATGGCTCATGTGCTGTTATATACGATTTGTTATGTGTTAGACTATATGTCATATGATACACCTGTTGTGGACATCATTTTCTTTTCAGCTTTAATTTCACTCTCGCTAAATGTGGGCGCCAATAGCCATATGAATAGGCCTAAATTTGATGGGTATTTTTATTATCGCAGTACCCCCCCCCCCAAAAAAAAAAAAAAAAAAATCTGTTGCTTTAAAGCCTTACTAGTCGTCCCGTAGAAATAAAATTACCTCCGCCAAGGAGGTTATGTTTTTACCCCTGTTTGTTTGTCTGTTTTTTTGTTTGTCTGTTATCAACATAACTCAAAAAGTTATGGACCGATTTTGATAAAATTTTCAGGAACTGTCAGAAGTGGGCCAAGGAACAGATGATTAGTTTTTGGTGGTGATCCGGATCAATAATCAATAATAAAAAATATCGAAAATTTAGGGGTGAAACGGCATTGGATGGAGACTTTGCTGGCTTGGCGGAGATCTGCTCTCTCTGAGTTTGATTTTATTTTGCTTTGACCAAAGGCGGGGCATAACTTCCTTGTAGGCATTAACGTTTACTTCGCTCTCATTGTGCGTTGTACATTTGTTTTATCATTCATGCAATATAATGTTAAGTTAATGCAAGCAGTAAACCGATGAATCTTAAGTATGGGACACTAATATACATACACTGGACAATAGATGTGTCACCCCCTGAATCAGAGTAATCAAAGTTATAATGCCTGGTCTACTTATAATGTGACTAATGAGTATAGTGGATTTGTATTGTTGGTCTTTTTGTGAAATTTGATGTTAATGAAATGATACCAGGAGCATATCATTCGACAGTTATTTATCTCCCCCATAGTATTGCTTTAATAGGGGTGACACTTCTATTGTCCAGTGTGTGTAGTATCAGTTAATAGTTGTAGCTTTCGTGGAAGTACAAGTAAGGAGGCAATGACATTTGACCAGCAAAGGTCATTTTTTATTTCTTCAGGATTTACAATAACTGAATAGTTCTTGAAAATAAAAATTAAAGTCACCTTTGGTCTCAAAGTATAATATCCAGAATGACATTACTACGCATAACCGATTTCTCGATTTCGACGTCACAATACTACCAAAACAAAATTAACATTATGTCACAAGCTTTAAAAATAATACCAAGTATTTAATTTCTGACCGATCACAATCTAATTGTTGATCTGATTTAAACAAGCAGTTGCACGTGGCGTCATTTAATCCCGCCCTCTACCAGGCCGTCCGCCAGGCCGTCCGCCAGGGCCTCTTCTCGGGACACAAAAGCGGCGTCGCCTGAGTCGGTAGCCGTCTGGACAGCCGCAAGTGTACCCTCCCTCTGTATTAGTACACGTGCTGACGTTACGGGGGCGGCACACGCCCAGGGCGCACTCGTCGATATCTGTAATCAACAACGTCACTGATAGTACAATTATAGTCTCACCCGCTGTATAACAGACATTAGCTCAAAATTTATTAATCCTATGAGCACATAAAAAAACTCTCTCTATGGTAACGTTACTGAAATCCCCTGGCAACCAAACATTGGGATAAAATAATCCAATCCAACAGTTAGAGAATCGCGAGAACTATAGGCCTAGAGAAGGTCAGACCTTCGCCATTGTCATATGCCATGAAAGTTTTTTTTTTAAATTTCAAACCACGGATTCAACTGAATGTGCATAGAATTAATTATTCTGCACTCAACTGATTTGTAATCTCATCTCCCCCCCCCCCCCCCCCGCCCCACAAATAGCTGCAATCTGGAATATTTCGTCAAAATCTTCGACCAACTTATCGACGTATCTTGTCCTCTAACAAACAGACGGGCAATCTCACACGCATGATGACTTATCCCCTTTCTTTGGTAGATGTACAATGGCAGGATATATACAGTTACAATGAAAATCAACCTTTGTACCCCAATTAGCGTTAAATATATATAAAAACAAGTCATATTTTGCTGGATTTGAAGGGGAGTTGGATCAGAAACATTGGCAGAGAAGTAGGTGAGTGTCGGGATCGACTAAGTTCATATGTAATATGTAAATACTCTGTATACATGTATTAGTACATACACTGCACCGCCTTGGTACAGAACCCTATTACAGGTAAGGGATTGGTATATAAAGCGTTGGCAAAGTGGAGATCAGGGAGATCGGGGAATAAATCACTCACAGGATCAGGCGCACAAGGTTTCAGCCTTATTACTAAAGCGTTGACACTATCTTACGTAGATTCTTGCAGGGTTTCTAGTTTCGTCTTACGCCACGCAGTGTCGCCAGCCTCGTTTTAGCCTTAATGGGACAATCACACAACACTCACCTTCACAGGTGCCATTGGTGAACCGATATCCTCTGCGACAGCGACAAGTGTATCTTCCGCGTCGGATCCTGCATACACCGTTTGGACCACAAATATCGGGGGTGGCTTCGCACACGTTGATTGCTGGAAAATCATAGATCATGTTGCACTAATTATAATCAAGGCATAGTACTCCAGAAATTTCTACAAAAAAATTGAAGACTAGAATGATAATAAGGTACTGGATATGGAATTTCTCCAAACCCATTGCGTTGGTTTACCGTTAGTGACACGCCTGGGCAGAGCATCAGATGTAGCAAATAAACACAGTACTATAAGAAATAAAAATTAAGAAATAAGTCCTTCTAGAAATAAGGCATACGATTTAACTTCAAACATCGGTCCCTTTAAAATTTTTAAATAAAAATTAACAACTTAGCGTGACCATTTTAACAACACACAGTTCCCTACAATACAATATGCCACTGTTTTCTCATTCCAAATATTTATTACCTGTGCACGTGACCCCGTCTCCCGAATACCCAGTTATACATGCGCATGAAAACCCGCCGTCGGTGTTCGTACAGGTGGCTCTCTCGTCATGGCAGTTGTCGGTGTTGGCTGCGCATTCATCTATATCTGTGACATAAAAGTAAAAACATTAAGATAACACAGGTCTGTGGCAGCGAGATGTGATGAATGCACACAAAATACTGCAAAGATACTGAAAAACTAGACAGCAAAGCTGACAAATATACAGACACCATACAAGAAACAAGGCAGCAAAGCTGACAAATGTTCAGACATTCAGACCCAGAAAAGAGCAGTTATGGGACAAACGTCATGTGTCGACAGCGACGGCGAAGGCACGGACAGATAGACCAATCAATATATGCAGACAGTGTCTGTATATAAAAAACGAAATAAAAACGTATATCGTTAAGCACAAAAAGCGGGAATTGTTTACGTTAAGCGCGATGAACATTTTCTGATTTTCATTAACTCCTTTCAAAAGAAACCTCAACATGACGCTATTTTGAAATTCTCACATTTCTTCTAGTACTTTTGGGAAACGGGTCCCAAGATAAGAAACTCACCTGTGCACGAGGTATAGCCATCCCCAGTATAGCCAGAGCTGCAGGCACAGGTAAAGCTTCCCACAGTGTTAGTGCAGTCAGCGTTGGCGGCACAGGTGTGATTACCATCGGCACATTCGTCCACGTCAGCTGAAGTTATGATAGAATATGTTGTACGTGCAAGAGAATGTACGCAAGTAAAAATATACTCCACTAATATGCCATTTTACATTGTGTTTCAGCAAAATAATAATAATAACAATAATAAATAAATAAACAAATTATGTCTAATAAAAACAATGATGCTCGTTTATGTTTATTTAGCGCACTGTAAATAACCATCTGGTATTACGTTATACGTTGATGGTTTAGAGTTTGGAGGATTAGATGAATGCATTTGGCTCATAATGGAATCTGACCGATAAAACAATGTAAAAAAATCTATCTATCTGTATATCTATATTGTTCCTACCTGTACACGTGACCCCGTCCCCAATAAAGCCAGGTCTGCAGGTGCACGTGAAGCTACCAGCAGTGTTGGTGCAGTCAGCGTCGTCATGGCAATTATCTGTCCCCGCTGAGCACTCGTCTATATCTGGAGATGCGAACGTAGAATGCTAAGTCAGTACAAATATCAGATTACAGAAGTACCCCTAAACACATCCTATTGTTATTTTTGTTAAACGGAACCTGGATAAAGATCGTGCCTTTGAGAAAACCTGGCAAGTTTTGTGGCAATGTTTTTGTTTGTTTGTTTGTTTGTTTGTTTGTTTGTTTAACAAATGTAGCCTTTGTGAATAATCATTCCCTAAATATATTAATTCACTCACCTGTACAAGATGTTCCGTCTCCGGAAAACCCTGCATTGCAGGCACAAGTGAAACCTCCTACTGTATTAGTGCAGGTAGCGTCGTCAGCACAGTTGTCAGAGTTTTCAGTACATTCATCGATATCTGTTTAAAACATGTCAACGGAAATAATTAATTAAATGAAAACAATGGAACAATAACATGAGTATACCTTGATAATTCGACATAGTTGCTACAAAAAACTAATACCGGTACTTATACATGCTGTAAGAAATGTTGTAAGAATGATAAAAACTGTGGAAAACATTGTGTAAAAAAACATAGCGCAGCACATTCCTATTATTGACAAGCACTGTAAGCGAAAATAACATGGACATTCAGAAAATGTGATAAGCAATATTTCACATATTGGAATTTTCAAGGTGTGACTTTTAAAGAGCTTAGATGAAATGTAGACCTGTAGTAGATGTTTCTTTAATCTTTTGAAAACCCTTTGTCCTCAAATTTTTACACTGACCTTTATGATTTGTGCTGTGCCGTATCCCAAATTAAATGTAATATGATCATGATCATGGAAGATTAAAGAAACATCTACTACAGGTCTACATTTCATCTAAGCTCTTTAAAGTCACACCTTGAAAATGCCAATATGTGAAAAATTAAATTTTCACAAAAAACTGTTTAACTGCCANGGTGATCCGGATCAATAATCAATAATCAAAAATATCGAAAATTCAGGGGTGAAACGGCATTGGATGGAGACTTTGCTGCCTTGGCGGAGATCTGCTCTCTCTGAGTTTGATTTTATTTTGCTTTGACCAAAGGCGGGGCATAACTTCCTTGTAGGCATTAACGTTTACTTCGCTCTCATTTTGCGTTGTACATTTGTTTTATCATTCATGCAATATAATGTTAAGTTAATGCAAACAGTAAACCGATGAATCTTAAGTATGGGACACTAATATACACACACTGGACAATAGATGTGTCACCCCTGAATCAGAGTAATCAAAGTTATAATGCCTGGTCTACTTATAATGTGACTAATGAGTATAGTGGATTTGTATTGTTGGTCTTTTTGTGAAATTTGATGTTAATGAAATGATACCAGGAGCATATCATTCGACAGTTATTTATCTCCCCCATAGTATTGCTTTAATAGGGGTGACACTTCTATTGTCCAGTGTGTGTAGTATCAGTTAATAGTTGTAGCTTTCGTGGAAGTACACGTAAGGAGGCAATGACATTTGACCAGCAAAGGTCATTTTTTATTTCTTCAGGATTTACAATAACTGAATAGTTCTTGAAAATAAAAATTAAAGTCACCTTTGGTCTCAAAGTATAATATCCAGAATGACATTACTACGCATAACCGATTTCTCGATTTCGACGTCACAATACTACAAAAAACAAATTAACATTATGTCACAAGCTTTAAAAATAATACCAAGTATTTAATTTCTGACCGATCACAATCTAATTGTTGATCTGATTTAAACAAGCAGTTGCACGTGGCGTCATTTAATCCCGCCCTCTACCAGGCCCTCTACCAGGCCGTCCGCCAGGCCGTCCGCCAAGGCCTCTTCTCGGGACACAAAAGCGGCGTCGCCTGAGTCGGTAGCCGTCTGGACAGCCGCAAGTGTACCCTCCCTCTGTATTAGTACACGTGCTGACGTTACGGGGGCGGCACACGTCCAGGGCACACTCGTCGATATCTGTAATCAACAACGGTAAGAAATTAAATGTCACTTACGTCACTGATAGTACAATTATAGTCTCACCCGCTGTATAACAGACATTAGCTCAAAATTTATTAATCCTATGAGCACATAAAAAAACTCTCTCTATGGTAACGTTACTGAAATCCCCTGGCAACCAAACATTGGGATAAAATAATCCAATCCAACAGTTAGAGAATTGCGAGAACTATAGGCCTAGAGAAGGTCAGACCTTCGCCATTGTCATATGCCATGAAAGTTTTTTCTTTAATTTCAAACCACGGATTCAACTGAATGTGCATAGAATGAATTATTCTGCACTCAACTGATTTGTAATCTCATCTCCGCCCCCCCCCCCCCCCGCCCCACAAATAGCTGCAATCTGGAATATTTCGTCAAAATCTTCGACCAATTTATCGACGTATCTTGCCCTCTAACAAACAGACAGGCAATCTCACACGCATGATGACTTATCCCCTTTCTTTGGTAGATGTACGATGGCAGGATATATACAGTTACAATGAAAATCAACCTTTGTACCACAATTAGCGTTAAATATATAAAAACAAGTCATATTTTGCTGGATTTGAAGGGGAGTTGGATCAGAAACATTGGCAGAGAAGTAGGTGAGTGTCGGGATCGACTAAGTTCATATGTAATATGTAAATACTCTGTATACATGTATTAGTACATATACTGCACCGCCTTGGTACAGAACCCTATTACAGGTAAAGGATTAGTATATAAAGCGTTGGCAAAGTGGAGATCAGGGAGATCAGGGAATAAATCACTCACAGGATCAGGCGCACAAGGTTTCAGCCTTATTACTAAAGCTTTGACCCTATCTTACGTAGATTCTTGCAGGGTTTCTAGTTTCGTCTTACGCCACGCAGTGTCGCCAGCCTCGTTTTAGCCTTAATGGCACAATCACACAACACTCACCTTCACAGGTGCCATTGGTGAACCGATATCCTCTGCGACAGCGACAAGTGTACCTTCCGCGTCGGATCCTGCATGCACCGTTTGGACCACAAATATCGGGGGTGGCTTCGCACACGTTGATTGCTGGAAAATCATAGATCATGTTGCACTAATTATAATCAAGGCATAGTACTCCAGAAATTTCTACAAAAAAATTGAAGACTAGAATGATAATGAGGTACTGGATTTGGAATTTCTCCAAACCCATTGCGTTGGTTTACCGTTAGTGACACGCCTGGGCAGAGCATCAGATGTAGCAAATAAACATAGTACTAAACTAGTACTAAACTAGTACTAAAGAAATAAAAATTAAGAAATAAGTCCTTCTAGAAATAAGGCATACGATTTAACTTCAAACATCGGTCCCTTTAAAATTTTTAAATAAAAATAAACAACTTAGCGTGACCATTTTAACAACACACAGTTCCCTACAATACAATATGCCACTGTTTTCTCATTTCAAATATTTATTACCTGTGCACGTGACCCCGTCTCCCGAATACCCGGATATACATGCGCATGAAAACCCGCCGTCGGTGTTCGTACAGGTGGCTCTCTCGTCATGGCAGTTGTCGGTGTTGGTTGCGCATTCATCTATATCTGTGACATAAAAGTAAATACATTAAGATAACACAGGTCTGTGGCAGCGAGATGTGATGAATGCACACAAAATACTGCAAAGATACTGAAAAACTAGACAGCAAAGCTGACAAATATACAGACACCATACAAGAAACAAGGCAGCAAAGCTGACAAATGTTCAGACATTCAGACCCAGAAAAGAGCAGTTATGGGACAAACGTCATGTGTCGACAGCAACGGCGAAGGCACCGACATATAGACCAATCAATATATCCAGACAGTGTCTGTATATAAAAAACGAAATAAAAACGTAAATCGTTAAGCACAAAAAGCAGGAATTGTTTACGTTAAGCGCGATGAACATTTTCTGATTTTCATTAACTCCTTTCAAAAGAAACCTCAACATGACGCTATTTTGAAATTCTCACATTTCTTCTAGTACTTTTGGGAATCGGGTCCCAAGATAAGAAACTCACCTGTGCACGAGGTATAGCCATCCCCAGTATAGCCAGTGCTGCAGGCACAGGTAAAGCTTCCCACAGTGTTAGTGCAGTCAGCGTTGGCGGCACAGGTGTGATTACCATCGGCACATTCGTCCACGTCAGCTGAAGTTATGATAGAATATGTTGTACGTGCAAGAGAATGTACGCAAGTAAAAATATACTCCACTAATATGCCATTTTACATTGTGTTTCAGCAAAATAATAATAATAACAATAATAAATAAATAAACAAATTATGTCTAATAAAAACAATGATGCTCGTTTATGTTTATTTAGCGCACTGTAAATAACCATCTGGTATTACGTTATACGTTGATGGTTTAGAGTTTGGAGGATTAGATGAATGCATTTGGCTCATAATGGAATCTGACCGATAAAACAATGTAAAAAAATCTATCTATCTATCTGTATATCTATATTGTTCCTACCTGTACACGTGACCCCGTCCCCAATAAAACCAGGTCTGCAGGTGCACGTGAAGCTGCCAGCAGTGTTGGTGCAGTCAGCGTCGTCATGGCAATTATCTGTCCCCGCTGAGCACTCGTCTATATCTGGAGATGCGAACGTAGAATGCTAAGTCAGTACAAATATCAGATTACAGAAGTACCCCTAAACACATCCTATTGTTATTTTTGTTAAACGGAACCTGGATAAAGATCGTGCCTTTGAGAAAACCTGGCAAGTTTTGTGGCAATGTTTTTGTTTGTTTGTTTGTCTGTTTGTTTAACAAATGTAGCCTTTGTGAATAATCATTCCCTAAATATATTAATTCACTCACCTGTACAAGATGTTCCGTCTCCGGAAAACCCTGCATTGCAGGCACAAGTGAAACCTCCTACTGTGTTAGTGCAGGTAGCGTCGTCAGCACAGTTGTCAGAGTTTTCAGTACATTCATCGATATCTGTTTAAAACATGTCAACGGAAATAATTAATTAAATGAAAACAATGGAACAATAACATGAGTATACCTGGAGAATTCGACATAGTTGCTACAAAAAACTAATACCGGTACTTATACATGCTGTAAGAAATGTTGTAAGAATGATAAAAACTGTGGAAAACATTGTGTAAAAAACATAACAGCACATTTCTATTATTGACAAGCACTGTAAACGAAAAAAAAAAAAAAACGAAATGAAGATAATCCAGCAAGATATAATATTTTGTTTTGCACTAACACAAGAAAAAAAAGATTAACCATTACCTGTGCATGTGACCCCGTCCCCAGAATACCCGGATGCACACGTGCAAGAAAAGCCGCCGTCAGTGTTTGTACATTGAGCATTTGCATGACAGTTGTCGGTATTATCAGTGCATTCATTGATATCTGTAAAAATACAGATAGTTTGGAGATAAATTATGCATTGCCCAAGGCAAAGCTGGAAAGCTGGCATCACAAATTTATAACTGGAACATTTTGTATGTTTTGGATGGCTACATGTAGGTCAGAGTACTGTACATGTTGGTATTTAGTTTTGGTTTAAAACACTTCAATATTTGTGAAAAATTATTAGACAATCGCATCAACAAATGCAGCTAGTGTATATCTATGCTGCATTTCTTTCCGTGTTAAATTTTACCTGTGCACGTGACCCCGTCACCAGAATACCCGGATGAGCATGCGCAAGAAAAGCCGCCGTCAGTGTTTGTACACTGAGCATTTGCATGGCAGTTGTCGGTATTTTCAGTGCATTCATTGACATCTGAAAGTATGCAGAATAACTGGACTGTTTTTGCATTATGTCCATTTAGAAAAAATAATATTAATTTTACATCGAAATAAGAGAGGCGTTATTATAAAAATGGAACATTTCTGTGCAAGCTTGTCTTATGATCGAACTAAAAAAGTAAATAAAAACATTGAAAAATGTAAATATTTGTGCCTTGTGAAAGTCTTTTAAATAATCTATCCATTTTGATATTTACCTGTACACGTGACTCCATCCCCAGTATACCCGGATGTACAAGCGCACGTAAAGCTACCAACAGTGTTTGTACACTGGGCGTTATCGTCACAGTTATCGGTGTTTGCTGCGCATTCATCGATGTCTGAAAAAAGGTGTCATAAATGTATCAACGTCATGGTGGCGGTTTGCATTCAAAGGGGGATATACGTGTATGAAATGAATAATTGCCAAGGATGTTTGTCAATTATTCAAAATGGTGGTCCAGAGAAAAGGATACACCAGTATCCTAAATCGTCATATATGGATAAATTTTATTTTTTAAACTTTTGCTCTTTTGTTATAGCCTTCAATAATGTCACTAACAATAATCAACAGTTGCTCAGAACTAATCTAAGCCTGCTGCTCTGCTCGTTGAGATATCACGTTAAAAGTAACCATCCTCGGGACTATAAACTCACCAGTACATGAGCTAGAGCCATCCCCAGTATAGCCAGCGCTGCAGGAACAGGTAAAGCTTCCCACAGTGTTAGCGCAGTCAGCGTTGGCGGCACAGGGGCTGGGTCCACTTCCAGCGCATTCATCGATGTCTGAAAATAATACAGAATGGTTGGACGCTTGTGGCACTGGTATGTTCTCAAGTCAGAAAATTGAAACATTTAAATTTTAATTTTAAAACAGACATAGGTTGTACTGTACACATGTAAGGCGTTGACATAATAAATTTGTCACACTTGAATGTTTTTTTATACTAGCGAGCGGCCATGTAATAAAACATCTGGCCTACATGTATTTTCAATTTTCATCGTGTTAAAATTTACCTGTGCACGTGACCCCATCTCCAGAATACCCGGATGTGCAGGCGCAAGAAAAGCCGCCGTCAGTGTTTGTACATTGAGCATTTGTATGGCAGTTGTCGGTATTTTCTGTGCATTCATCGATGTCTGAAAGTATACAGAATGTGTGGTGAAACGTTTAGCACTGTCCATTACATAAGGATCATTGAACTTTGCCAAGGTACATGAACCAGTAAAGTAGTACAGAAACATGATTGTATCTATATACTTTTGTGGTTTTTGAAATAACAAATATTTGTAAAGTAAATTTATAGCCAGATTTAATGGAAGGATTTTCTTAACCAAATCATTTAAAGTATTTGATATCTTCAATATAATTTTCTCTATAATGACACTTACCTGTGCACGTGACCCCATCCCCAGAATACCCGGATGAGCATGCGCAAGTAAAGCCACCGACAGTGTTTGTACATTGAGCATTTGCATGGCAGTTGTCGGTATTTTCAGTGCATTCATTGACATCTGAAACAATGAAAATGTTAATTCACACTCAAAATAAGAGATACAATCGTATCATTTTCGTCCTTTCTGTAATGATTCCTAAAAAAGTAAATAATAGCATTGGTAAATTGTAAACTATGTACAGTGAACAAAAAACCTTTTTACTAAAAGTGCATCCGTGTTGATACATGTACATATAATTACCTGTGCATGTGACCCCATCTCCCGTATACCCGGATGTACAAGCGCATGTAAAACTCCCGACAGTGTTTGTACACTGGGCGTTTGCATTGCAGTTATCGGTGTTTGCGGCGCATTCATCGATGTCTGAAATAAAAGTGTCATTTCAACGTCACAACTGAAGTTTGTATCCAACGTAACCTAAAAATCAGTAATTTTGTGCAATAGATAAAAATGAATGTCTAGACATATATATAAATAAAATATATACATAAAATGTCAATTTTAATTAATTATTCATTCGCTTTTGCTCCTTTGTAACAGCAGCCAATAATGAAAAGGTGCATTACTCAAAATGTTTTTGGCCCGCTACTCGGGACACCAAGGCGCAAGAATGCGTTCACATTGAAGCTTTTGTTCCTCATTGTGCACTCTTGTGACCAGTTAAACAAATAAGCACACCTCTTGTTTCCAACACAATCGTAAAATCACCAGCTTTTTTGTATTCTACTTAACACCAGGAGGAGACGTTTTAATCGTTTTATCTGATTGCATTCAGCATTCAGCAAGAGTTCTCAAGGAGTAAGTGCGCACTATAGCTAACATGGTACCGGTACAATGGAGATTCATTGCAAATGCTCCCTGAGAAACCATCCCTGGACTACTGTTAGAAAACACACCTGTGCACGACGTATAGCCATCCCCAGTAAAGCCAGCACTGCAGGCACAGGTAAAGCTTCCCAGGGTATTTGTGCAGTCAGCGTTGGTAACGCAGGTGTGGGTACCAGCGGCACATTCATCCACATCGGCTGAAATTACGATAAAGATGCCTCGTAGATGTTTAAATATTTTATATTTTATGTGATAATGACACCTGAAAAGCTAAGGTGTTGTACATGAAGATTACAGAGTCACCTAATATATCTGTTCCGGTAGTTTTAAAGTGCACAACAATTTTTTATGACCTGGAAGCCACTAATGTTGTACAGTTTCATTAGTCATATATTTGAAATGACCAATAAAGTTTCTTTTGTCAATAACTGTGGAATGTTCACTGATTTTACCAGCCAATATTTCGTCTGCTGAAAGTCAAACTTCATTAAGAAAATGAGGGCTACGATAGATATTATACAGTAAAACCTATATAATCATATACCTGTACACGTGACCCCGTCCCCAATAAAACCAGGTCTGCAGGTGCACGTGAAGCTGCCAGCAGTGTTGGTGCAGTCAGCGTCGTCATGGCAATTATCTGTCCCCGCTGAGCACTCGTCTATATCTGGAGACCCAAAGGAACAGGGTAAAAAGGAACAGGGTAAAACCAGTAAAATACCTGTACGAATTTGATATTTATCGACCAAAAGATGAAATGCTACAGTGAATTCAGCTAAGTTAAACGGAAATTTGATGTTTGTATCATACAAAAAAACCTGTCACATTTAATGTTTTTTTAACAAAAAAGGCCATTCAACTTAATAGTTCCAAAATACATGTATATTAATTCACTCACCTGTACAAGATGTCCCGTCTCCGGAAAACCCTGCATTGCAGGCACAAGTGAAACCTCCTACTGTGTTAGTGCAGGTAGCGTCGTCAGCACAGTTGTTAGAGTTTTCAGTACATTCATCGATATCTGTTTAAAACATACCAACGGAAATAATTAAGTACATGAAAAACAATAAAAAAATAAGTAATACCTTCATAATTCTACAGTTACAAAATTTAATATATATACAAGCTGAAAAAATGTAGTGAGAGCGAGAAAAAACATAGTGCTGTTTTCAGAACATGTAGATCCATGATTGTAAAATAAAATTACAGCATGCTTTTATTATTGACACATTAAGTCAAGAGAAACAAGAGGAAGATGACCCAGCAGAAATAATATTTTATCATTATGCACTCACTGAAGAAAGACAAAATATACCATTACCTGTGCACGTGACCCCATCTCCTGAATACCCGGATGTACACGCACAAGTAAAGCTGCCGACAGTGTTTGTACACTGGGCGTTTGCATTGCAGTTATCGGTGTTTGCAGCGCATTCATCAATGTCTGAAAAAAGGTGTCATACATGTATCAACCTCACAGCTGAGGTTGGCATTCCGACGTGACCGTATATCAGTAACTTGGTGCAACATAATAAAGGACCTTGTTAGTGTATTCTAAGATCTAATAAACGGATCTTAGGTGTATTACATGGATAATAAACAGAAACACATGTTAATTATTCAAAATGGAAGTCCAGACACATGGATGTATCGGAACTTGTTAAATATAGTTAATTTTTAATTATTTCAAAAACCTTTTTCTCTTTTGCAACAGCTGCCAATACGGTTACCGACAGTCACCAACAGTTAATCAGAACTCACTGAGCCACGCGGGCTTAAGGAACCATCACCTGACCTACAAACTCACCTGTGCACGGGTTAGAGCCATCTCCAGTATAGCCAGCGCTGCAAGAACAGGTATAGCTTCCCACAGTATTAGTGCAGTCAGCGTTGGCGGCACAGGGGCTGGGTCCACTGGCAGCACATTCATCGATGTCTGGAAATAATGCAGAATGATTGGACGGTTATAGTTTAATATCAAGTCAGGAAAATGAAACAAATATAAAAGCTAAAATAGCTCATTGCACATATGCTGTACGTTGGCACGATAGATTTGTATCATTTTTGTTCTTATTTTAGGAATAGCAAAAAGTAAGTTATTACATTTAAAAAACGTGTGCAGTGAAGCTCTTTTACTTAACAGTATCCACGTTAATATTTACCTGTGCAAGTGACCCCATCTCCCGAATACCCGGATGTACACGCACAAGTAAAGCTGCCGACAGTGTTTGTACACTGAGCATTAGCATTGCAGTTATCAGTGTTTGCGGTGCATTCATCAATGTCTGAAAAAAAGGGGGTCATACATGTATCAACATCAAAGCTGAGGTTTGCATTCCGACGTGACCGTATATCAGTAATTTGGTGCAACATAACAAAGGACCTTGTTAGTGTATTACATGGATAATAAACAGAGACACATGTTAATTATTCAAAATGGAAGTCCAGACACATGGATGTATCGTAACTTGTTAAATATGGTTAATTTTTAATTATTTTAAAAACCTTTTCTCTTATATAACAGCTGCCAATACAGTCACCGACAATAACCAACAGTTGCTCAGAACTCGCTGAGACACGCGGGTCTAAGGAACCATCACCTGACCTACAAACTCACCTGTGCACGAGTTAGAGCCATCCCCAGTATAGCCAGAGCTGCAGGAACAGGTAAAGCTTCCCACAGTGTTAGTGCAATCAGCGTTGGCGGCACAGGGGCTAGGCCCACTTGCAGCGCATTCATCGATGTCTGAAAATAATACAGAATGGCTGGACGGTTATGGTGTAATATCAGGTCAGAAAAATGGAACAATTTAATCTAAAAGCTAAAATAGCTCATTGCACACGTGCTGTTCCCTATACGTTGACACGATAGATTTGTATCATCTTTGTTCTTATTATAGGAATAGCAAAAAGTAACTTATTACATTTAAAAAACGTGTGCAGTGAAGCTCTTTTACTTAACAGTATCCACGTTAATATTTACCTGTGCAAGTGACCCCATCTCCCGAATACCCGGATGTACAAGCGCACGTAAAGCTGCCGACAGTGTTTGTACACTGGGCGTTTTCGTCACAGTTGTCGGTGTTTGCTGCGCATTCATCAATGTCTGAAAAATGGTGTTATACATGTATCAGTGTCTTAGCTGAGGTTTCCATTCCACTGTGAGGTTAATGTTTATTTTAATTTATTTAATTTAATATGTTAATGTTAATTTGGTGCAACAAAGCAAAGGATCATGTACTTTTATGAAATGAATAATCAACAAGGATACAGTGTATGTGTAACTTGTTACATAAGGGGCGTATGGGTAACCTTATCTTTCATTTTTTAAAAATTATTGTTCTTTTATAAAATCGGTCAAACTGAAAGCGACAATAACCAACAGGTGCTCAGAATTTCCTGCCTTCTGCACTGCTCCCTGAAATACGAGGGACTAGGAAAACATCACCTGACTTACAAACTCACCTGTGCACGAGTTAGAGCCATCCCCAGTATAGCCAGCGCTGCAGGCACAGGTAAAGCTTCCCACAGTGTTAGTGCAGTCAGCGTTGGCGGCGCAAGGGCTGGGTCCACTTGCAGCGCATTCATCGATGTCTGAAAATAATACAGAATGACTGGACGGTTATGGTTTAATATCAAGTCAGAAAAATGAAACAATTAAATCTAAAAGCTAAAATAGCTCATTGCACATGGGCTGTACGTTGGCACGATAGATTTGTATCATCTTTGTTCTTATTTTAGGAACAGCAAAAAGTAAGTTATTACATTTAAAAAACGTGTGCAGTGAAGCTCTTAACAGTATCCATGTTAATATTTACCTGTGCAAGTGACCCCATCTCCCGAATACCCGGATGTACAAGCGCACGTAAAGCTGCCAACAGTGTTTGTACACTGGGCGTTTTCGTCACAGTTGTCGGTGTTTGCGGCGCATTCATCGATGTCTGAAAAAAGGTGTCATACATGTATCAGTGTCTTAACTGAGGTTTCCATTCCACTGTGAGGTTAATGTATAATCAGTAAATTGGTGCAACAAAGGATCATGTAATTGTGTGAAATGAATAATCAAAAAAGGATACAGTGTATGTATTAATTATTCAAAATGGAGTTCCAGACACATGAATACATACAGTTATTGTAACGTGTTATATACGGGGTGTACGGATAACCCTATTTCTTATTTTTTACGTTCCTTTTTTTTTGTAAAAGCGTTCAAAACTGTAACCAGCAATAACCAACAGGTGCTTAGAACTTTCTGCCTTCTGCATTTCTCACTGAGATACCACGGTCAATGAAACTATCCCCCGAGACTACAAACTCACCTGTACACGAGCTAGAGCCATCCCCAGTATAGCCAGCGCTGCAAGCACAGGTAAAGCTTCCCACAGTGTTAGTACAGTCAGCGTTGGCGACACAGGGGCTGGGTCCACTTGCAGCGCATT